TCAGCAATGTATCAAGTTTTAGTTGCTCCACATATTTGCCAAGATGGGGTGCAATCTTTTTAATTTTAACCACTTGAATAATTATGTAGAGGTATCTCACTGTAATATGAGCTTCTCTAATGGCTCATCATGACAGGTTTCTTTGCCTGTGCTTATGTGCCATCTTTTTGTGTAATGTCTGCTCAAATCGTTTACTTTTTTTTTTTTTAAGAAGTGGACATGTTTGTTTTTTTAATATTGAATCTTTAGAGCTCTTTGTATGCTGTGGAACTAGGGACTTCATCAGATACATGCTTTGCAAGTATTTCCCCCTCGTTGGTGACTTGTCTTTCTATTGTCTTAACAGTGTTTTTCAAAGACCAAAAACAATTGATGAAGTCTAATTTATTAATTTTTTTCAATGGAATATGCTTCTGGTTTGGTAGTAAGCAATCTTTGCCTAGCCCAAGGTTCTCAGAAAGGTTCTCTCCTTTGTTTTATTCTAGAAGTTTATAGGCTTAGGTTTTATGAGCCACTGCAATTATTTTTTGTATGGGTGCAAAGTGTGAATTGAAGTTCTTTTTTGGGGGGCTTAAGGATATCAGTTGTCCAGGCACCACTAAGTTATCTTTGGACCTTTGCTGAAAATCAGTGTTCATTTATGTGTGACTGTTTCTGGACTCACTCTCAGGTCCTACCACCAGTTTATTCATCTTTTTTGCCATTACCAGACAGCCTTGATTCTTTGACTCCCTTGCTTTTTAAAAATGTGATTATATTATCAAAATAACTCACGTGCATAGTTTAAAAACTCAAGTCTTGACTTTATTCTCTCTCAAATTTTTAGTTCTTTTAATTTCCAGATTTTTTTTAATAGTAGAAGTTCCTATTTTAAGAGTGTTAGTTTCTCTCCCTGATAAGTTTTTCTTTTCTTTTGTGTGGCTGTTTTCTTCTGTTCCCTGCATCATCTCAGACTTCCCTTTCCCCCTTGGGGCTCTGCATGCCTCCTGTTAGTCTCGTTAGATTTTTTTTTTTTTTTTTAAATAGCTGGGTATTCTGGAGAGTGTTCATATCTAAGGAGTAACTAGCTGATTAAGTGCTCTGCAGCAGGGGCTTGTGGGCAGGGGACTAACCTGTAGGGTTAATTGGCAGGTATGTGGTCATTTTGTTGGGGGATCCGCAGATGCAGTATTATGGGTTCAATTTTACCACGCAATGGGCTGGGCCAAGGGGCTGGCTGTCCCTGTCCCAGGTACTGAGTGATCTAGGGAGCCTTCATGAAATCCTGCCCCAGCCCTTGTCTGACCTTCTCCCCAGGCTGTGCCCTGGTGGCCCAGTCCAGAGCCCTGCTCTCTGCTTCCTTTTCTGTGAGAACAAACCTGTCTGTCACAAGACGGGCAGGGCCTGTTTGCAGGGGCTTGGGGAGAGGAGCTGGGTCTGACCGCCTCTTTTATAGACTCATAACCCATCCTGCTGTTTTTGGCTTCATCTTGGGAAGTGTGTGGTCCCTCCAGTTCCTGAGTCTTGCCCAGGTTCTGGGGCACAAATGGAATCATTTCTGTTGGCTTTCTGTGAAAGGGGCTTGGTTCCGCCTCACTCTAAGTCTGTTCCCATTTGGCCATCTTCTTTCCACGTGTGTCTGCTCTTTCCTTCCCGCCCCTTGTGTTGGGTAAAAGGGAGATAAATGCGTCCATTCAGTTTGCTCTATTCCACAGGGCCTTCCTTACTCCCTTCCCTTCCCGTGCCCTCCCCGGCCTCCCCCCCTTCTCTCCCCCCCTCCTCTTCCCACTCCCACACCCGTGCATTCCTGACCCGCTCCCCTGCTCCTCAGAGCCCCTCCCCACTTACTCCCCTTTCTCGCCCACCTCCTTTGCCTGGAAGTTTTGGTGCCATAATCCTCTTCAGGCCTGAGAGGGAGCAGCCCAGGTGATCTAGAAGGGATTGGATGAAGAGCTGGGAAACTGAAGTACCTGCAGATGTGATACGCCTTCAGTCCTGCTTGACGCCTTCCCACTCCTCAGCATTCCTCAGCCCAGAATGCCCACGTCACAAACCCCCTTATGCGGGGTTTGTGCAACCTCAGCCCCGTGCATCCCGCCAGAGCCCCGAACCTCACCTGGCTGTCCCATGTTGGCCTGTTCCCTGTGTCTTTTTGCCTTGCAGGCCCCTGAGCAAGAGGGCCCTGGCAGGCTCTGGTGTCAGGTTCTGGGGGTGTCAGGAATGTGTGGAGCATCCCTCCCCAACAGGCCTGAAGGCTCAGGCCTGTTTGGAGGGCTAATAGGAGCTTCACCTTTCTTCACCCACTGTCTTCAGCTGTGTGCCCCATGAGGCTGAGGCTCTTCCCTTGTGTTGTCCACCGCCCCTCCTCCTGCCCTGTATTATCCTTCTTTTTAAAACAAGAGGGCCACCCCATTCTATCAGCAAGGTAGGGTGGGGGTGCACTGACAGAGACAGCTAGGAATATCCAGCTGGCCTTCTCCTGGGGCTTGTCCAGCGTCGAAGGGTGAAGAAGGCACTTCCCTGACCCGTGGGCACTTGGATGGCTTTGCAAGAGAATCGGGACAACTGTATAACTCAGCACCCTCCCCATTCAGCTATCGCCACTCCCTTTCTCTCATTCTCAATCCCATAACCACTCCCATTTATCCAGGGTTGAGGGGGGCAGAATGTTCCCATTTTACAGATGAAGTGACAGGAGGCCCAGAGATCTCATGATGTGTCCCGTGTCTCACAGCTAGGAGAGCAGAGGCCCATCTTGACCCCAGGACGTGTGGCTGCACATCTGGTGTCTTCCTTCTGTTTCCCAGGCGAGTCCCAGCCATCCTCTCTGCCTGGTAATTACTACTTGGGGGCTATAGGGGTTCCTTGATTTGGGGTCCCACAGGAGGGAGATGTCCTCAGTCAGCAGTTCCCGGTCAATTTCTGGGACCCAGCCAAGCCCTGACCTTCGTCTGTCCTGCCCCATTTTCAGGTGAGGGGCCTGGAGCGTCTGATCAGACTTCTCTATTTCTTTCTTTGGTTGGTGCTTTCTGTGGCTTCCAGCGAGCCCCTCCCTCACAGAATGCCCATAAATTCTGTTTATTCGGGCAAATGGGTGCCCTTAGTCATAGGGGGCAGGGAAGGAGAACTTGCAAAAGCCTCTCACCAACCACACCCAGCTGTTAGAAGAGTCGTGCCCACAGGCTGTGAGGCCCTGGGGCGGTCTTCCTGTAGACAGAGCAGTGCTGCTGTCTTCTTCATTCAGGAGCACCCATCCCACCCACTGCAACTGTCCATACCCCCTGCGGCCCCCCATTTGCTTGTCCTTGCAGCCAGAATTGTCAGGGGCCTGTCTCTTGTACATGCTCACACAGCCGGCGTCAATATCTTGGAGGCCTCCTATGGCTTTTAGAAAAAAAGGCTCCCAGGCCTTGCAGTCATGCCCTGCTTGCTCGTCCTATCCCCAGGGCCCCGTCTCTGCTCTCTAGTCATTCCAGCCTGCACCCTCTTCTCCCCTCATTACTCTCCACTCTTCTTGGCGCCTTGGCACTGGCCCTCCCCTCCATGAGGAAGAGGCTCCTCTCTCGCCCCTTTGTCTGCTTTGTTCTCGCTTCCCTTTCATCACCTCCTCAAGGCTGCCCCGTCCAGGCCTGCAGCAAAGAAGGGACTCCAGGTCATGCACTCTGTGGTGCCCGGCACTTCTCCATCAGAATACATCACAGCTTGTCTCTGTCTGTGTTTATTCACGTTGGTCTGGCCCGCTGGACAGGACGCTCCCAGGTTTAGGGATCGCTGGGCCGTCTCTTTCCTTACCCGGAATCCCCAGTGCCACGTGCTGCAGGGGCTCGTCCGGCGTTGGTTAAATAAAGCTCTCTGTGTGAATAAGAATCTCTTCACCTAATACTGGCCATCATGCTCAATTTCACGTCCTTCTTCCTGTGCCTGGCTGGCACACGTCTGCTGCCTGAGCATCCTGGCTGCCCTGCTGGCATGTTCCCGTCATGCAGACTGCCTGGGGATTTTATAGAGAAGGCTCTGATTTATTGGGTTGTCAGAAAAGTCATGATGCATTTTCACTTGAAAAATATAGAAGAAATATGTCATGACTTTTCCAACAACCCAATAATAAGTTGGGGTAGGTACTGAGGTTCCACATTTTTAGCAAGCTCCTGGACCCTGGTCCAGCACGTCCAGGGACCACACAGGCCTGGCCTGAGTCACAGCTGCTTGGAGGCCCAGGCCCAGCAGATGTTGCTTGTACAGGGACCGGGTGCCACCGGGGGTGGGTGTGGCCCAGCCAGGCCGAGGCAATTGCAGAACTGAACCTGGTGTGGAGCCCCACGTCCCGCTGCTGCTCGCTCTCACACCCTCACTCTGTATTAGGACAGCCTTGTGCATGGTGGCACCTGGGGCACCCCAACTACTACCAGAGGGTAGAGGCCCTGGTACGCCAGCTGCAAACAACCCTCAAACCAGAATGGGGCCCCTGAGAGCCTGTAGTATAGACTTCAACCATTTTAAGTTCCCCTTCTTGCCTCATCACAGACACCAACTATAAAAGGGAAAGGGGCCCTTTCTCGTGTGCCGTTGGGTATGGCAGGAACGGGAGGAGTTTGCGGGGATTAGAGAAGGTCTACACTCCGCCAGCCACTGGTGTCCAGTGTCACTGGGCCGCACATCATACCTAGGATCTGGTTTGCTTCCTGGGTCCTGTCCCCCTCCGCCCCTTCCCCCAGGCAAGGACCAGGTCGTGGCTTGTGGCTCTGTGGGGGTGGGGGCCACATTGGCCGGCTCGCCCCAGGTCCTGCTGGTGTGAAGGTCCGCTCTGCCAGCCAGGGGGCCCGGCCTTCCCTGGCGGCCTGTGTGTTCTTCTGGGATCCCTGCCAGCACTAACAGGGATTCTCTGATCTCCTGCCCTTTGCCTGGAGAGAAATGAGGGGCGGGGAGAGCTTGGAGTCCTTGCCTGCTCATCAGGGCCTACAGGAGGCTGGCTTTGGAGAAGGCCCACTAAATCCTCTCCCTGTCTCTTGGTGTCCTGGCAGGTCCCTGGATGGCCGGTTGCAGGTGTCTCATCGGAAAGGGCTGCCCCACGTCATCTACTGCCGCCTGTGGCGGTGGCCCGACCTGCACAGCCACCACGAGCTGCGGGCCATGGAGCTGTGTGAGTTCGCCTTCAACATGAAGAAGGATGAGGTCTGCGTGAACCCCTACCACTATCAGAGGGTAGAAACCCCAGGTAGGCCACCACCTGGGGCTCTGTGGTGCTCCCCTCCCCCAGGGGAGGGTATGGGGGCTTTGGGGCCAGCCTGAACCCACTGCTGATCCACTCTGCTCTGCCTCCCCTGCACAGTTCTACCTCCTGTATTGGTGCCGCGCCACACAGAGATCCCGGCCGAGTTCCCCCCGCTGGACGACTACAGCCATTCCATCCCCGAGAACACTAACTTCCCCGCGGGCATCGAGCCCCAGAGCAATATTCCAGGTAGGCACAGGGCCACTCAGGGGTAGGGGCCCAGGACAGTGCCTCGCTCTCAGCCCCCCTTCTCCGTCCCTGTCACCCCCATCCACTCACTCCAGCGCCGGCCTGCAGGCCCAGACTCAGAGAACCCCCTCCCTATTGGGAGAGGCCCTGTGGCCTTGGCTCCCCACTCGCTAATGATGCTTTTCTTGGCACGGGGGACCGGCTTCGTGACCCTTCCGCTCGGACTCGATGCAGTCATTTATTTTGGAAGCGGAAATAGCGGCCCTGTGTTTCTCTAGCCGCCCCTGGGGCCCGCGGAGTGCAGGCAGCATCCCGAGGGCCTGGCGAAGGTAGAGGCAGGGAGAGCAGAGCACGGCCCTGGGAGCGAGCCGATGAGGGGTTACCGTCCGGGTGGGAATTGAGATCAGAACCAGAGTTTTCACTCTAAAGGGAAAAGTGGGCTCCTGTGTCAGAGGTGCCGGTATTTTGAGAAGGCCTCATTGTATGTAAATAATGTGGATCCCCATCCCCTTCTGTGTCCAGAAGAAACACCTGGCAGCACTTGGGCTGGTGAGACAACTGTGGGCACAGGGCTGTGGTCCCCCTGCCTTTCTTTTGGGAGCTGTAAATGGTGTTGTTTGATTGAGCTTCTGCTCCCAGTGAGTTTACTATGCTGAGGTGACCCAGGCATGTGCGCTTGGGTCCCAGGAGGAAGGAGAGACCGACTTGCAGATCCTTCCCGGGTAGTGCTGGTCTCAAGGACATGTTACCCACGCTGTTCATTCACGGACCTTAGCCACATCAGGGTCTGAGGGAATTCGGAGGACAAAATCAAGCTCTGGCATCACTGAACTTGCAGGCTACTTGGGAAGCTGAGACATCTCCTAAAGAGAGAACAAATAATAACAGTACAGGATTTACACAATAGATAGTAGAGCCAAAAGAAGAGCACCCTTCAGAGGACACAGATAGGCCAGGCTGAGACAAGGGTGAACTTAAACCTGAGCAGGAAGCCTGGGGAGAAGTTAGCCTGGCAGAGGCCCTTGAAACAGATATTTCAGATTTGGCAGTCAGACACTACAAAGGTGGTAGCCATTCAGATAGGCTGCCAGGAGGGGGTGGGTGTGAGATCCACAGGAGCCAGGAGCAGGTGCCCTCACTCCAGGCAAGGGTTCCTCCAGCACCTGCTCCTGGCCTCACTGTGTGCACATGTGATGAGTTTGCAGATGGTGTTTCAAGGGAGCCAAACCCTGGCGGCAATTTAATGACCCACCTTCTTTCTGATTCCCAGAAACCCCACCCCCTGGCTACCTGAGTGAAGATGGAGAGACCAGTGACCACCAGATGAACCACAGTATGGATGCAGGTCAGAACCTCTGGTGATGTGCTCTCAACCCTAATGGGGGGCCTGCCCTCCACCTTCTATCCAGTATTTCTAGAGCGACCAGTGGGTGCCAGGTACTATACCAGATGTTGGGGGCAGAAGAGGAACCCCACCTTGTCAGTTTGGAGGGAGACTAAAGACCTCTGGTGGTTGCCCTGCTGCTGCAGGTCCACCCTGACGAAGACCCTGCTGGACATCAGGGGCCACCTGACCCAGCCTAGGGAGGAGGTGTTGGGGCAGGCAGTACTTCACCATGGTGTGGGTTTTTCTTGAGTTGAATCTTGGAGCTTGTGGGTGTTGGCCAAGCTGTCGCAGTGGGCAAAGCGTGTGCCAAGTGGAGTTGTGGGGGCATGGGCAGGCGAGCCTGGTGCTTCTGGAGGACAGTGAGGCCTCAGTGCAAAGGGAAAAGAAACAGTGGTGGGGAGGGCTCACTCGGGGAGCTAATGGGGTGCTGCTGCAGGCCTCAGTAGGGTCTATCCTTAAGGGAGTGTTGCTTACGGTAGGTAGCGTGGGCTCGGTCACTGGAGGGAGCTCAGGGCAGCCTGCGCGGAGGCTGGGGCTTTGCCACGAGCTAGAGGAGACCCCTGGAGCATCTGCTCTGGGGTGGTGGCCACATGTGAGCTGTGTGCTCCTGCCATGAGGACCCGGCTTGTCTCCAACCGCATCTCCAGATGTTCCCACATCATTTGTCACAGGACCAAATTGGCCCTAAACCAGCCGCTTCTTGAATTGAACCTCAGCTGCCACCTAGAAAGTGTGCCATGTTGTGTGTGGTTGGCGAGGAGGAGGGAGCCAAGCGGACTCCACTCTGACCTGCCTGGTGCACGCGGAGCTGCCAGGCGCAGGGAGCCCCCCCCCCGCCCAAAGGAGTGTGGCGTTCCTGAAAGGACAAAAGAGACTGGCATGTTCCTTGTAAACCAAGTTACTTAATATCTAGCCTGGACACCCTGGCACTTGGGGGTTTATAACCCCACAAGCCCCCCACCCCCATGAGCGGCTGAGAGTGTGAACCCAGCTGGAATGCGTGGCAGTCCCTTGGGTTCAGTGCCAAGGGACAGAGATGCACACTTGCAGCTATTACATGCTGGCCCGGGAAGCAGGCCAGCGAGCAGCGTCTCTCAGATGCTGCGTGTCTCTCCCTCTTTGCTGCTCTTCCTCTCCGTGGACTGCTGTCACAAAAGAAAATGGACCACAGGAGAGGGTCTGGATGTGGGACGAGCAGAGGCCTTTTCACCCCCGGCTCTCCTTCCCTGCCCTCTCTCCTTGCAGCCCCTGTTCTCCCCTCCCAGAAGTGTACCCTCACGGCCTGCCGTCAGCATGAGTGGTTTATTGAAAATGGACGCTGCTATCTCCTATTGATTTCCTGTTCTGTGCTCACAGTTACCCACTTTGAGACCAGTCCAGATACTCATGGAGCTTCTCTGCCAGCTGAGGTGTGGTTGAGCTTCAGCTGGGACCCTGTGTCTCCCTGATACCCACTCAGGCCCTTCAGACCTGTGTGGAGGCCCGTGTCCTTCCTGGATTTCCATGATTTAGGTCACCCCAGAATAGGAAACCACATCTGTGTAGCGCCTACTCCGTGCCAGTCACGGTGGGGGCCTGGCTACACGCACCATCTGTTTCCACAAATCACGCGATCGGTGGTATTATCCCCATTTCATACCTCATGGGAAACATCAAGACTCAGAAAGATTAACCCCCTTTGCCAAAGTCCCACCACTGATGGGTGACGGCACGTTCGATCCCACGACTGACTCGCGGCCTCTTGCTTCTTCCTTGACTCTTCCTCACCCCTTCATGAATTGAAGCAGGAAGGGTAAGAACCCAGGCCTCAACCCTTGTCCTTGCGGCAGTTTCAGCTGCATTGGGGAGCAGGGATAGACCCCCAGCGCAGCTGTAACTGCCGCAAGGATGCAGATTGCAGGGGTGGGGCCGCCACAGGGACAGGCGGGTGGCCGGTGTGTCTGTTGCTCTGGAAGAGCCGTCACTTGGTGTTTTGGAAGGCTGCTGCCATGTGGGTGGTGGTTTTTTTGGTGGTTTTTTTTTTCACCTGAGAGTGAGGATGGAGGGAAGGTGATAACATAAGAGCTGGGAAGGTTTGGACTCTTCCCACATGTGGTGTCACGTCTTGCATGAATGTCAGTCTGGTCTCTGAGCCGGGGGATTTCTGAGGCAGCTTGCTGAGTGTCTTGAACCTGGGGATAGGACTAGGTGCCTGAGCCACTGAGAACCGTGATCATGATGTCTCGTCAGCCACGGGCCCCACCTCTGCCAGAATTGCTTTTGCTGCTTGGTTCTTTGAGCAACGAGAGAGAGGGACTTGCCCCTTATTTCCTGGGGGCAGAGTTAACAAAAGAACTTGGCAGCCTTGTGCTGTGGGTCTTGATTGGGATCCTCAAACTGTCTGGTTGTGAAAGAACCTCTGGGATCATTCACGCCTCCGTTCAGTCCAGAGATGAAGCAGTTAGGATCAGGGAGGGAAGCCTGGCAAGGACATGGGATTAGCCCTTCTCCTGGGCCTTGGAGCCTCAACCCCAGGTTTTCTTCCTGCTGCGTTGAGCTACCCCATTTAATACCTTGGCTCTCCAGACCGAGAATGTCGATGAAGTCTCACAACTGTGTCTCACCTCGCAGGTTCTCCAAACCTATCCCCGAATCCGATGTCCCCAGCACACAGTACCCTGGGTAAGTAACTGTTCCCTGTGATTGTCACCCCTCGAGCTGCCACCCTGGCTGGAGGCCATCGTGAAGAGGGGCCCTGAGAGTGAGGCTCTCTTCCCACCCCCACCTGTGGGGTTTCTGGTTACCATGATGTCAGGGTCACCCACAGAACCCGGAAACTGAGAACAGTGGTGGCAGGAAAGGCAGCCACATGCCGAGTTTTTAATTTTCCCTGGGGTGGCGGTTAGTCGTGAGTGAATGAAAATCCCCCAAACCTTGTGCTCAAAAGATGAGGGCCTGTGGTCGGCGCGCATATGTGTGTGGTTTGCTGCAAAGCCACGGGCAGCAGTGCAGACTCGGCCCCCCGCCCTCATAGCCTCATCCCAGTGCACTTACTTCTCTGAGCATTTCATCTTACAGCTGCGTGCTCTTTGTTTAAAGCAACAACATATAAGAAATGTGAAACAACATATAAGAAACAACATATAAGAATTGCCCGTGATGGCCGCCCCCAGCGCGCTGCTCTGTTCCCGCACAGTCCTGCTGTGTGTGGATCAGGCCCATGCATGTGCCTTGCCAAAGAGCAGGTGCGTGTCCACTTGCTCGTTCTTCCATTATTCTGGAAACACATTTCCCTCCACAGATGCCTCGGTGATCACCCTACATTATCTGAGAATGTCTTAGAGCAGTTGGGCCATCAGCAACGTGGCCTCCCCATGGTGGTTGCACTTCTGGGTTTGTTTTTCCAAGATTTGCTTTCCTGCCCCAGGCGTGTCCTTCAGCTCCAGCGTGGGGCCGCCGAAGGGCTCAAAACAAATGGAATACTCGCCCTGCTTTTATTGAAGGGACTTTTTGATGTCCTGGTGTGGTGGTTTTCAAACAACAGGAGTTAGCTTATGTTTTGGCCTTTCTCGCTGGGACTCACCCTGTCGCTCAAGGAAGAAACAGTTAATGTCCGTTCTTGGGGAGGCAGAGTGGATTGGCCTGGCTTTGGTTCCCGTCTGTTTCCGGCCCTTGGGTGGTGGCACCCGGTGAAGAAAGTCATCCTTCGCAACGTTGGAAGGATGACGGGAACCCCGTGGTAGTGGCTGGCCAGTGGGCATGTGACACGAGACTGGGGGATCCCTTTCACCATTGTAAAATAGCCCTGTGCGTGTTGGACTTTTGCAGGGGAAGGTCAAATTCCTGCTGTGAAAGGACTGATTGAGTTGTTAAAAACAAACTCTGGTGGCTGGAAGCTCGGTCAGCACTTGAGAAACTGAAGGCCCTGATCGTGAACTTGACTCTTACTTTCAGTTTTTGAGGGTGGCTGACTTAGGTTTAATTTCTGAGTCACTTTACCCCACCAGGGCCAAGGTGGCACTTGAAGTTGATAGAGTCAGTGGCGATCTGGACACACTTGCTGCCTGACTAGTGGATGTGGCTGGAAGTTGTCCCCATGGTGGTTTCCTGTGAGTTCCCCTCCGGATCGCGTGAACTGGGAGGACAGGCTGGTGCTTGAATGTGAACCTGAGGCACAGCATCCTCTTGACTCCTTCCCAGGCTCTAATCTAAGGCTCAGGAACCCTGGGGGCATTTCTTTCAAAAGAGGGCACAGTGCTTGAGCCTTGCGGGCAGAGTTGGGGGGCCTTCTCTGCTGGGAAGATCTGAGTTGGGGGACGAGTCAGCTCCACCTTCACGATGAGATATGACCGTGACAGGCCCGGCTTCCTCTCTGCGTGACAAGCCCTTGCACCCACACCTTTACCAGCTCACCAGCCTCACCCCTATCCATAAAATCTCATGTGCTCCCGGCATGATGGTGGTGACGACAGCCAACATTTATTGAGAGAACTTATGAATGTTGTTCACAGGCTTCGAGTGTGTTCACTCAGCCTTTATGCCAAGTGTACAAGGTGGCACTGTTGTGAGTTTCAGTTTACACATTAGGAAACTGAGGAACTAACTCATCCCGGGTCGCACCACTAGTGAACGGAAGCACTGGCTTTGAACTCAGACCACGTACTCCAGCTGCAGCAGGGCCCTGCCTGCTGGGTCATTTACAACAACTCCCCCTCCTCACTCAGGCCAGGCTCAAGGAGGGCACCGGCTAGCCTTTAGTCAGGTTGAGGACCCTGGTGTCCTGTGTGGTCCCCGTTGGGAGCCCTGCCTGCTTTCTGTGCTTCTTTATCATCATTTCCTGCCTGGCCAGTGGCGGCCAGTCTGGTCCAGATGGGGTGATTAAAAGAGGAATCCTGTCCCCCAGTCCCCCACGCAAATCAAGGAGCTTATGCTCTGTTGGGCTAGATAAGGCAGGGCTATATTTCAGAAGAGAGCAAGAAGCAGGTACAATACCCTGAGCCTTTGAAGGAGGCAAGATGGCGTTCCAGTGGGGACAGCAGTGTCCCGAGACTGCCAGGGACTGTGTGCATTCAGCCAGCTTTGCTGAGTTCCTGGTCTGTGCTGATGGGTGGTGCAGAGCAGCGGGGGGCGCTTGGGCATCCTCAGTCTGGAGCAGCTGGTGGCCTCCCACAGGGTGCCTACCTGCCATACACTGTGCAGGTGCCCAGGGAGCAGGCCCAGAGGAATAGGCACCTGCTGAGGAGGAGAGTGGTGGGCAGGGAGGTAGAGCCCAAGTTGTGACTTGCGTGAGCTGGACCCTGAAAGCCAAGCGGGGCTCCTATGAGGCAGAGATGGTCGGATGGACATTCAGATGAGGAGTGGTCTGCAGGGGCCAGAAGAGCCCTTCTAGAGTTGGCCATGAGCACAGCTGGCATGGTTGGCAAGTCAGGAGGCCTGTGGGGGCGCGGAGAAGCGCCCTGAGTGCCTTGATGAGTAGTCCCTCTCGTCTGCAGAGAAAGGTCAGTGGGTTTTTTGGGGGGAGGGATTGGTATCTGATGACAGCTCCTTAAAGATTCATCTGCCCACTATGGGATTTAAATTCTAGGGGAAATTATTGGTAGCCACCCTCCCTCCCCCACCCCCCAAACCACGAAAACCCACTTAGGATGCTGATACACTGAAGCAGGCTGACACTTTAGAGCACTGGTGGGGCTAGAGAGGGCATTGGAGATTCATAGGCCTAGCCCAGCAAGTTTCCTCAGGCAGCCTTAGCTGGGAAGGTGTTGAGGCCTCTAATGGGGGCGGGACACCTCAGTGGGATGGATTAGGGTTGGAAGATGACCAGTGCTTCACTGCGGCCTGGAAGAAGTAGGACAGTCAGGAGGGGGGCCGGGCAGGTTCTGAAATTGGTCCCGAGACAGTGTCCTGCTGACACAGTTCTCCCTCCCTGTCACCCCTTCTGCGGGCCTCTGTGGATTTGGAAGCTGTTAGCAGGTGGGCAGCCTTTCCCAGATGGGGTTGGCGTTTATCGGTGAATGAGCTTGGGAAGCCTGTCCTGTACTCGGGCCTGGGCACAGGGCACCGGCACAGACCTGCAGAAAAGAGGCGTGTGGAGTCAGCATTTCTCTCCCAAATCTGAGCACTGCAGGGCACAGCTTCTTACATCCCCATCAGTCACCCCCTAGATCTCACCGTGGAAGCACCCAGGAAGGTCAGGCCAAAGTTGTGGGAGCGGATAAACTCGGTAAAGAGGGAGACCCAGCCCAGGAAGGAAAGAGGGCCGAAGCCACACTGCGGGGCCTCCCCCGGGAGGGTTGGGAAGAGGCTGAGGTCAGGTAGAGGCTGGCCCGCAGCCAGAGGGGAGGGTGCAGGACGGCAGGCGTGGGCAGGGGGCAGAGATGCACAGTGAGTGGTCGGGGAGACCCGGGGCTTGACATGAGGAGTTGAGGAACATCCTTCGGAGAGCAGCTGTGGGGAGCCGTGGGGGTGAGGTCGCTGAGCAGCGGGCGATGCAGGCAGAGGGCGGGGCCCCAGAGGTGGCGGCGGCAGGCACACGGCGAGCCCTCACAAGAGAAAGACAGGCAGTCTCAGGCCGTGGAGACACTTCTTGTGAAGGAATGCTTCCACAGGAGGAAACAGAGCTTAGGACATCTGGCTCCTGCTTCACTTCTTCCCCACTCCCGGTGAGGAGATGGCACCTCCTGCCGCAGTGAAGCCACTTCTGGTACCTGAGGAGGAGCCCCAAGAGTGACTGAGCCTGGGCCCTGCTTCTTGCCAGGGGCTGGCTCTCGGGCAACCCTGGGGCCTTGTTTTGCAGAGAAGGGAGCAGGTGATGTTCCTGTTATGACACATGCTGGCTGAGTCACCTGGAATTTCCTAAGCACGGAAGCCAGGATTGGGGTTAAAGGAGGCGGAAGGTGGAGAGAGGCAAAGATAAGGGCTGGAGCCCGTGCTGAGTAAGCCGTGCGGTGCGCCCGTAGGGAGCAGTCTTGGCTAAGGGAGACCAGGTGACAGGGAGTGCCCTGGCAGGGGCCGAGCTGGGGTTCACGGAGGCCCGTTTCCCAGCGCGCCACCTCTGTGGAGGGAGCCTTCCTCTCCTGCCAGGCAAGAGGGAGAGGACCAGCCGGGAAGGCCGCGCCCCAGAGAGGATGGGGCCCAGGTTCCAGGTGTCCTCAGGAGACTGCACCAGGCTCTTTAAAAACTTGACAAACTCTCATCTTCAACAAGCCTGGAAAATCCCAGGCAGGCATCCTAATGACAGGAAATCAGCTGTCTGCCCCGGTGCCTCACACCCCCCGGGGTCTGCTGTTAGAAGTGGCCACCATTCTTGCTCGCAGTAAACTGGCCTGAGGCTGAGGCCCTAGGGTGCTTTCTTGTACCTCCTGGCTTGTTGCTCTGATTTTTAGGCTGGAATTAGTGCCCCAGATGTTGGGACACAGCTGGCCCGGACCCTAGGAACTACCCATTAGTGCAGGGGCCTTGAGTACGGGGGTGACACCGCATGGAGCAGTGAGGGAGTGCTCCACAGCCACGTGAGCTGGGCCTTAAGGTCGAGTGCACAGGTGAGCAGGGCGGTGGCCCAGGCAGAGCAGGGACTGGGCTGCAGCGGTGTGTGGGTGCAGGCGGGCTGGAATGAGCGGGAACTACCTGCCCTCCCCAGGGAGGAGGGCCCAAAGGAAGCCAGTCCTTTTCAGTTTTGACCTTTAGCCTTGCAGCATCAGTGTTCCTGGCTTTTGCCCGCCCCTTGCTTTCAGTTTATAGTAGAACGTTAATTTGCCCCCCTTGGGCCTCTCCCATTTTCCTTTACCGGATTTGGATCCCTTGCACATGTTTTTAATAGGCTTCCCTTAATCCAAGTGTTGCCTTCTGGGTTTTATTCTGTTTTCTTTTCCTTAAACAAAACAGAAAGACTATGCCAGCTTGGAATAGCGCTCGAAACTGAAGCCAGCCAATGCGTAGGCTGGCAGAGAGCCAGTCATGAATTAAGTGCCCCATGCCACTCGAGAAGTCTGGCCGACACTGCACTGGTGGGGGCGGGGGCCCGAGAACGGCTGGAGCTGGAGGTTCCTGCGTCTCTAACACCTCTGCTCCAGGGAGAGAGATTAGCACAGACTCAGCAGCCTGGCCCACAGCTGGGCTGTGCGAAGAGAAGGCCTTGGGCATGGGCCACAGTCCACCATTCCATTAGTGTGTGTCCTGGATCTGTAGAAGCCAAACCAGTCTTCAGTGGGGGGAGTCACCTTACCCCTGTAGCGTCGTCCTCCCAGGGGAGCCTTTGAATGGCATGTTAAGAAACAAACATATGTACAATCATTTTTGCATTTGTTCGGAACCCAACATAGCAAGGCTGGCTGGCTGGCTGGCTGTCTTGATTGATATGGGGCAAGGTTGCCTCCTGCCAGATTTCTTTTAAGATTTAGTGCCAGGACCAGCTTTCTTTCCCCTGTGGAACTAGAAAGCATTGTCTGTGCTTCAACCAGGCCAGGTAGCATATTATGCTCCCTTTTTGCCTTGTCTGCTAGGAAGCTCAGAGCCAAACCGAGTGTTCTTTCAGTAACTATAACCTCTTATTATCCCATTAAGTTTTCTCCTTGCCAGCGTCCTTTAGGTTTCTCTTGTACTTCACCATGATGTGGGTAAACCCTTTGGTGGAAAAGAAATGAGGTCATAGATGAAGTCTTACTATCTGAGTGCTGTTCAAAGCAGAGCCCGCAGGTGGGGACCTTATTCTTTGGTCTGCAGCTTCTGTTATAGTACCTGGAGGAAGTAGCTGAGGTGATGGCAGAGAGGGAGGTGAGAGGCAGGGCTGGCTTGCAGTGGTCTGCAGGGAATTGTAAATGCACGGCTAGTGCTGCTGCTCTGCTTCAGCTCGTCCAAGCAGCACTGTCTGAAATGGCAGCCTTCAGACTTTGCCTTGGCCTGATCGCTCTGCTCCCCTAAACCAGCATCATTTTAATTACGTGTCAGGCTCCTGCATCCAGTGTTTTCCACAACACTGTCCAGTGTGTCTGCGAGTTTGCCACAATGTTTGGATAAGGGCTCAGATCAGCTTGGGAGGGCCTCCTGGGGGTGGACCCCAAGCCCCTCTCTGGTTCTAAGATGGCTTGAAACCCCCACTTAGCCAGAGTATGATCCTGGCATCTTGCTACCCAATGGGTAGCTTGCCAGCTTTTCTTCTTTTGATGGGTGGACTATGTCAGTGTTCCCTGGAGCCTAGCTTGTTCTCTCCTATCTGGAGTGAGCCCCAGCAGTGCACAAAGCTGTGTAATTCGGGGGTGAGGATTCTGTTCTCTACTTTGAGAAGAACATCGGGGCTGCCTCTCACGCGGACCCATGCATGCAGCAGTGACCCAGGGGTCAGCTTTAGATGTCTTCAGTATACTGCAGTCACCACCAGACCAGAGACGAGTCCTGTCCTGAAGGTCACACGGCAAGGTCAGTAGTGCCTGCCCCTGGCAGTGACGGCCAGCAGCCCTGCCCAGCACCTCTTGGCTTGACATGTCGTCTGACCACTTCGAATGCTTGGATTGCATTGGGCTTTTTTTTTTAGGTTTCCCAAGCAACATAGCTCACGTTTTAGTGACCACATTGTCTAGAATACAGCTTATCTCACTGGAATGTCAAACCATCAAGTAAGCCAGAGCTGATGTGGCTGACAACGGCTTACGCCAACCTCGGGAGCATAGGCTGCAGGCACTCCTGCCCTGTCTTCCCTGCTCCCCATTTAGGAGCTGAGGCCCCCTCTTTTCCTCTTCTTCCCTTGCACCACCTGGGAAGAGGAGAGAAGGGACACCCTGCCCCTTCACAGTGCAGGCCAGGCCAGGCACAGGCGGTTCTCGACTTCATATAATCAAGTTGTTCTAATTGCTAGAAACATCATTTCGTGAGTGCTTGATGCACGCCCTGCACGGTGTTGCTTCATCTCAGTCCATCCGCAGAGCGCGCACTCCCGCGGGGCGGGCCGCGCGCAAACTCGGCTTTGCTCGCAGCCACACAGCTCGTCCGTACTGAGCGGAGCGCACTGCTGGGCCACGTAGTTCTAGAGCTCGCGTTCTGTGCCTGGCTAAACATCTAGCGCGGTGGTGTGCAGCTGGGGGCTGTTTTGCCCCCAAAAGACATCTAGAGACACTGTCTGCTGTCACAGCCAGGGGTGAGCTGGAGGGTGCTACTGGCATCTAGTAGGTAGAGACCGGGGTGCTCCTGAATGTCCTGTAATGTACAGAATCACCCTCCCCTCTCTGAACAAAGAATTATCTGGCTCCAAATGCCAATATTTCCAAGATTGAGAAACTGGATTTAGGTGTCCAGGGAGCCTTTCTGGACATATGTTGAGGGCAGGATGGTCGCTCTCTGCATCTCCTGGTGGCCACTTCCTATCCTTAGAGAACTTAAACCCTAAAAGAAGATCAGGGCCATTTGGCCCTGAGGGGGCACCCAGTGCTCTCCCCCCAAGCTTCTGACATTGCTCTTTGGCACGCACCTCACCTGCCACTGCATGTGTGCCCCTCCACATGCGCATGCCTGGCTTCATCCACCGTCAGAGGCCTGGTGAGCTGGGGTTCCTGGTGGCTTCTTACCCCTCTAAGTTACCTGGTAGACAGCAAGCAGGGGTCTCAGAGCAGGGCTGAGACTTGGCTTGGCATGACTTCCTGTCCCTCTCCCCAGCTCCCCAAAAATGCACCGAGTCCCCAAACAGCTCCAAATACACTTAATAACCAGCGTTCGTGATCCAGAATGGGGGCCCCGAATGGAGGAGGGGGAATGAGCTGGACACTTGGTGATGCTCCAGCTAACGGGCAGAATTCCAGCAGGCGGGGAGCAGGATGTGGTGCTCCCAGCTTAGGGGCACGCGCAGAGCAGAGAAGCAGCTGGAGGGACTAGACTGGAGCGCTGGGGGTTGGAATGCTGTGGCCCTGGCGCAGGTGAGGGCTGGGAGGCTGGTCCTGCCCCCATGAGAACGCAGGGAGGGGCAGGAGGGCAGGCGCATAGCAGGGTGGAACTCAGAATCCCCGGAGGTGACCGGGAGGGCTGAGGAGCCACAGGAAAGGTGACAGGCAGTCGTGTGAGGGGCAGGCTCTATCTCAGGGGTCCCCTGGCTCTTCTAAGAAAACCAGTGAAGTGGCAGTTTTGCTTTGGGTTGCTTCAGACTAACAACCAAGACAAATTCAGTTTCTTTTGGGGCGGGGGGGGGGGGGTTGGGTCAGCCATCCCAACAGACGGACGGCATCTGGATACCTGTGGCAGAAGTTTGTTATAAGAGACATGGGCCTGGGTCACTCTGCAGACAGCACCTGCTACCTGTGGGGTTTGTGACCTGGGGCACAGCATGGAACCCCAGCTGGTCAGCATGGTCATTTAATAGGCTTGGACGCTGCAGTTCAGTGGCTTTAGCAAAGACCAAGCAGAGCCCAGGGCTGGGGAGCCATCAGCATAGATGACTTTGGAGGCTTTGGGAGAGAGGCAGGGAGGGGATCGCCACGGTGGTGCAGCCCCACCACAGCAAGGGCATCCAGCAGCTTTGCCCAGGCGCCGCCTGCTCCTGGTTTGGCCCCGCACTCATTAAAGGCAGCTTCAATCCCAGGCCAGGCGGGGCTTTTCTGGGCTAAAACCAAGTGAAACCCATGGTTCTTCACACCCATGTGGCAGGTGGAATGCTTCTGCAGTCACCTGAGCTTTTTGCCCTCTTGGATCCTGCATGTTTTATACACTAAAAGCTGTGAGGGTAGCAGGATTAGTAATACCCTCTGAAAGGTGGGGAGTCTCCCAGAGCATCCAGGGGACCCCATCATATATATTCCACTGACCCTGGCCTGTCTTTTCAGACCTGCAGCCTGTCACCTACTGCGAGCCGGCCTTCTGGTGCTCCATCTCCTACTACGAGCTGAACCAGCGCGTCGGGGAGACGTTCCATGCCTCGCAGCCCTCCATGACTGTGGATGGCTTCACTGACCCCTCCAACTCGGAGCGCTTCTGCCTGGGGCTGCTCTCAAACGTCAACAGGAATGCTGCCGTGGAGCTCACCAGGAGGCACATAGGTGAGGGACCTACCCCACCCACCCGGGCAGCCTCTGCATCCCCCCCCACCCCGTCCCCACCCCCATGTGGCACCTCCTGCTGAGAACTGGGGAGAGGACTCACACCTCATCCTCACCCCAAATTCTGTACTCCTTGCTCAGGGGTCAGGGGCAGACGGTAGAGTTTGTGTTGCTCGGCCATTCTCATTCAGTGCCACGGATCATCTCAACACTGGAGAGCCACAGAGGCGAATACTGCACGGGAAAGGGCAATCTGTGAGGAAAGCCACACGAGCAATCCTAGTAACAATATGCTCTGAGTGCAGATCGGAGGGTAAGCAGGGAGTCAGCCTTGAGTGATCTTTTATTCGTTAATTTCATGATTCTAGGAAAGACTCAGGAAGATGCGCGCTGCCCGCTGTGGGAGCGCCACTTGCTAATGTCCTGCTCCCAGAATGTAGCAACCAAACGCTTTGTTGGTTGAGAGGAGAGGAAACCGTGGCATGTGTCACTTGCTTTGGCTCACATTGTCCTGCTAGGGATAGTCACAACCTTGCAGCGCAGGGTGCCTTGGAAGGGCTGTGTCCCCACATCATCCTGGAGCCCCAGGGCTGTAAGGAGCTCCTGGTGAACTCGGGCGCTGGGGAGAGCAGCGGGTCTGACCCCAGGGGAACCTGAGCGCCCCTGCTCTTGTCTGCGCTTTATCTTGGCTGTTCACAGGGGATTCGAGGATTTTATAGTAAAGAGAAACCTGGAAGCTAGGAGCCCAGGCTGGTGTGCTCATTCTCCAGGGAATAACCTGCTGTCCAGAGGGGTGAGCCCTGCCGCCACTGTTAGTCGGTGACTTAACGGCCCCTGCACTGAGCCCGTGTCCTTCCCAGACCGGCTCTGGTGTAAGCGACCGATTCTAGGTGGCACATACAGTGTCTGCTTGTCCTCTCAAGCAAGACAAATGGTTTAGTCCCTTTGGTCTGCGTCTTCCCCCCTGCCTCCAGCTCGTGACTGACGGTGCGGCCCCTCTGCCAGACCCCAGCCCCGCGGCAAGCAGACAGTGGGGGGAGGCAGCAGCAGGTCCCCGCGGGCCCGCAGAGCTCAGATGGTCACCTGGTTTCCATCCCACCTGACTCGTGCCTGTAAAATCTGGCTGTTTTCCAGGCCTCTGGGCAGCTACCCCAGGAGCAGGACCAGGGGCAGACTTTTCCGGGCAGGAAAGGGGAACATCCCCTGGGCAAGAGAGAGCTCACGGCTGGAGTGTTTACAAAACTGCTGAATTGCAGAGCCAATTTAAAAATGATTTCTGTCCATCTGGAGTAGATTTACGAGGTGAAGGGAATGTAAATGATACAAGCTACAGAACGTAAAGGTCCGGGGGGTGGCACTGAGCTGTCCCTGCGGGTTTCCTGAATGAATTCCTGCGTGTAGAGTGGGAGGGGCCTACAGCAGCAGCTGACTCGCCACTCCCCTCAGGTGGGCGTGGCCACCCCGGTTTACAAACCCAGGCCCCGGGAATGAGTAACTTGACCCGGGCCCTTGGCCAGTCAGTGGCAGAGGCTGTCACAGAAGCTTATCTCGTGCTCTCCTCCTGTCCTCTGCCTCCCCAGATTTCTACCATCCCAGCAACACCCATCATTTCGTGTGTGGGTTTAAGCTTGGGGCCTGTCTGCCCGGTGCGGCTGGCAAAGAGCCAGTCACTTGGAGCAGCTCTGCCCCTTCCTAGGCATCAGTGGCCACGTGGCCTGTGTGGGGTCAAGGCACCCTGGTCCAGTCTGACACTCATCTCCGTAGGGCGAGGCGTGCGGCTCTACTACATCGGTGGGGAGGTCTTCGCGGAGTGCCTCAGCGACAGCGCCATCTTCGTCCAGTCCCCCAACTGCAACCAGCGCTATGGCTGGCACCCCGCTACCGTCTGCAAGATCCCCCCAGGTAAAGCCATCCCTGGGATGCTGGAGACATTTCTCCTGTTGCTTTTTCTCCTCCTCCTCCTCGGTGTTTGCATCGCCAACCTGGAGGTGCTTTGCGAGGGTTTCTCTGTGCCTTACTATCTTAATGTGCCCTCCCAGGACCCCCAGGGAGCAGAACCTGGCAGGAATTCCTTTGACCATGAGCACCTGCTTGTTGCCCGATGTGCATGGATACTCAGGCGTGTGCCTGCTTCCTTCATTCCATAAACACAAAGATGTAGGGCACTGCGCGAGGTGCTCTTGGGGATGAAGGGATGCAGAAGGCTCCGCTCCTGCGCCCTCAGATCTCATAGAGCGGCAGTGTACAGACAGGGCTTGGAAGGGAGAGCGCTAAGTACCCATGAGCAGCACAGATGAGGTGCTTGGGATGCAGGGGAGAAGTATGTGTCTTTGGGGATGGATCAGGACCGGGCATGGAGGGAAGGGTACCTGGGCCTTGAAGGATGGGTAGGTATTATGTACAGAGTGGTGGGGACTGAGGCAGCATTTCAGGCAAAGAGGCCCAGAGGTGGTGGAGGGTCAGGCCATGGAAGGACATGAAAAAGCATTGCTCTTATTCTGGGGACATGCTGAGGGTTTTCAGAGCAGAGCTGGTGAATCCCACGTGTACCTGGTTTGGACAGGGTGAGGCTGGGCAGAAGGTTGGAGGCTGATCCCAGCTCAGGCTGCTTAAAAAACCGAGGCAGCTCACAGGGCCTCGGGAGTGGCTTCCCCGCAGGGCACGAGCACCTACGATGCTCGGAGCGAGCTCTGGGTCCCGTGTTTAGCTCAGAAAAACGTGACCACTTCAGAGTTTGAAAATGTCTAACTCCCCTCTCCCTTTTCAGTGTCTTGAGAAATTTTGGCCTGAAGATCTAGGCAGAACTGTGAACATTTACACTCCCCCTCTTTAAGTTTCTACTCGAGTCCAAATCCTCATTCACACTGCACAGGAAGCTCCCACTGCTCAGATCTGGTCATGTGACAAGACCAGAAGAATTTTGGGAGCGCATCAGGGATGATGAGTTGACCACAGTTCCCACTGATGTGTCAGAATAGAGCCTCTGGAAATGAGACTCAGGATTAGTGAGCAATAAACCTTTTGGTTCAGTTTCATATTGAGGACGACTCCCCCCCCCCCCCGGGGGGGGGGCACACGCACACATGCAGCAGCGGATACTACAGGGCTGCTGCACCTAATACCTGCGCTAGGCTCCCCGGCCGGGGCGCGAACTCTAGGCCCGTGCATTGGCCGCACTGAGCCTTACGCCCCCCGCGCCACCGGGGAGGCCGCTAACCTGGAGTGGTTCAGGCTGCCTATTAAGGAGCTTGCAGCTGAAGCAAGAGGAGAAAGATGGGCAGGACCTGAAACAAGGTCTTCAAGCCCACCTGTACCGAATCAGCTAAACGGACCCATAAGCGCATTTCACTGACCCGTCACTCCCACTTTAGGCTACTTCGGGCCGTAGATCACAGCACCGGGTGCATAACGCTTTCCAAATACTTGCTGAGGCCTAGTTTGGGAAATAGTCTCCACGACCCGTGAAGTATTTTCCATGAATCCGAGACACCTCTTTGAATTGCCATAACTTGAAATTGGCAAACATGAACTTTCCTTGAATGTACACACAATGACGGGGGGGGGGGGGTGGGGGTGTAGAGACCAAAGGGAGGGAGCCCCGTGACCTATACTGGACCTATAACCCTACAGAATACACAGGTGTAGTCCAAGGAGACCAATAAAAATTTAATATTAAAAAAAAAAAAACAAACCGAGGCAGAATGTCCCAGCCACAGCCTGCTCACGTGGCCTGCAGCCACTGGGTGTGCAGTCCAGAACATGAACTGAGACTGGCTGATAGAGGGGCGCTCGGGTCAAGCCAGTGACCACGTGAGACATGTCCTTTCCTGCCCTCGCAGAGGATGGTGGAACAATGGTCCACGGCACAGTCAACTTAGAGTGCAGAAGTCTGAAGTAATAGTGCTTGACCTTTCAGAGCATGGCAGGGTTGCGTTCAGAGTACATTTATAGCTCTGCTCACTCAGTCCTCTTCTCTTATTCTGGCTCTCCAGGTGAGGGGGCATGCTGAGACAAGTTGAGAGGGTAAGCCACCTGCCCACAGACACATAGCTAATAAGTGGCAAGTGGCTTAGCCAGGGTAAGCCACTAGGCCTGACTGAAACTCTGGAATCGAGTGCGCCTCTGCTTTTTGGTTCTGCTGGGGGCCAAACCCCCTGTGGCCCAGCCTCACCACACTTCCCCTTAGAGAAAACGAGAAGCAGAAACTCAGTTGCCACCTTGGCATTCTGCCTGCTCCTTTCCTGACCCCTCCCCCATCTTTCTGGTGAGGACCGAGCTGGCTGTGGTGGTTTGAGCTCAAAGTCAGAGCCAGGAGGACCTGGGAGGCCAGCCTCTCATTTTTATGGAGACAGAGGCTTATGAAGAGGAAGTGGCCAACCACGCCAGAATCGTACAGCAAGAGCAGATCCCAGTGTGGGTCTGTGTCACCTCAGCTCACCTTTGGGGCATTTCTGGCATGTGCTTTTGTCTTTATTTTTCTGGTTGACACATTCCTGGCACTCAGGTGGTAGAGCTTCATATGGGATTTATTTTAAACTTTATTTGTGCCTGTCTCCAGTTTTACTGCCTAGAGAATTAGACACACCTTCAGTTTGTGTTGAAAGTCACACCGACCCAGCTTTGTGCCCAGAGGCCAAAATGTGGCCCAGCTCTCCCTCCTCCTGGCCCCAGCACACTTCTGGCAGAGCCTGGGTGGATGGTGCTGGGGGGCCCTTCTCCCTGTCCCCTCATATCGTGCCTTGGCCTCTTTGTTCTCAGGAACCACTTTACAGTCTTTTCAGCACTCGACACCCCCACCCCATCTCCCCATCCTCATCATGGTGCTGGGGATGCAGTTTGTGGCCAGCGTAACCCACCACCGTGTCACCCCAGCCGTGCGCATCGTCACGTTCCAGGTGGTCCAGGGATGCCTTTAGCCAGAAGGGTAGCATCGGACTTGTCCATCCTTCCATCCCCACAAGTGCACTTTTTGTTTTGTTGGCAGGATGCAACCTGAAGATCTTCAACAACCAGGAGTTTGCCGCCCTCCTGGCTCAGTCTGTCAACCAGGGCTTCGAGGCCGTCTACCAGCTGACACGAATGTGCACCATCCGCATGAGCTTCGTCAAAGGCTGGGGCGCGGAATACAGGTCAGGTCTGGGGCCCCATGGCCAGAGCAGAGTGTAGAGATGAGCCAGGCCTGCCCTCACCCTCGTGAGCAGGGACATGCAGCTTCATGGGAAAGGCCGAGTCCGGCAAGATATGGAATAGAGTTCGCCGGCACTTCAGTTTCTCAAGTGTTTGTAAACACACACTGCTCCCCACAACCCTGGGCGAGGGTGCTGTGTGGCTGGAGAAGGCAGGCCCACAGAGGGGAAGCAGCCTGTAGGGACTGTCTAGACCTGTGCCCTCAGCTGCTTCCCCTTCCTCTGGGCAGACGATTTGGGTCAGCCCTTGCCAGGGAGTTGTCTTCACCTCATCGTTCCTATCCCCTGTGAGGCGCCGTCTCTGTCTTGGGGACTCCAATGGCCCTGAAGATGTGGGTTATTAAACCTGAGAAAGAAACAGGGAAGAGAGTTGGGTAGTCATAAAGGAACGACATTTACTTGCTCAGGAATGAAACAGCTTTTCCAGAATTTCAGATATTGGTTTAAACGTGGCCTGCTCTTCATGCTCTGACCACTCTGGGTTGGGTTTAGAGATTCCAGTCCCTTTTCTTTCCACACATGGACAGGCATGAGGCAGGGCTGTGTGGCCTTTTCTGCTCCCCCTTCCCAGCCGCAGCTCCTGCAGCAGACGGAGGTACCCACACGTCAGCTGGAGCCAGCGCCTTGCAAGTTACTCTCCCCTTCTCTTCATTTTTCCAGATGTTTGGAATCCATTTTGTTTTGCAGTCATTCTGCACCCAGGCCAAACCCATTTCAATATTGGCGCTGGGCCACTGTTTATAATGAAATCCAGATGAGCATGACTTATGGAAAGTCAGATTCTCATTAGAGGATTTCGGTCCGTAAAATCCTCTTCCATTTACCGTATTTTAGCTGCTGTTGCCCCTGTCTCTCCCAGTGCCACAGAACACAGCACCTTGGTCTCGGGGGTCTTTCTGAAATCCAGGAGGAGTGAGCCATTAGTGCACACAAAGTGGTCAACCCTCAGGAGACTGTAAACCCAGTTATTCTCACCTGAGGAAATCAGCCCAGGCCCAAAGGTCCAGCCCCACAGACGTTTCAGCTCACCTCTTGGGCCTGGCTGCAATCATTTAGGGGAAGACTTGAAAGGTTAGAACATGAATTTTCTTTCAGTGGGGAAGGAAAACATTTAAAGATGAACCAGGGAGAGATTCACTTGCTATATACTTGGAGTTCAGTCCAGGGGGCCACCTTCCAGCACCCCAGATCAGGCAGCCACCCCAAGACTGGGTGTGCATGTCTATTTTTAAAGCATAGACCAAGCACAGAGGGTGGTGCCCTCGAGCCAGCACCCCTCTGCCTGGCTCTGCACCAGACCCCTGCAGCTCGGAGGGGTGGGAAGAGGGTCGTGGTGGCAGAAGCCTTCCCCTGGCCCACCGCATCACCATGCAGGACACACTGCCCAGTCCTGTGCGGCCCAGCATGTCACTGCCACCTGGCAGTGCTGCGTGGCCTAACGGGCGGGCGCGGCCCCTTCCCAGAACAGTCTGCCCTCCTCCCACTCCTGGGCCAAGGAGAGTAAGGTTTCATCCCTTCTGTGAGGTGGCTGTGAGCAGGGCCCGGGCCTCTCACCCACAGCTGGCACCGGTGCCTTCGGCCTCAGCAGATAGCCTTTGCTCAGGGGAGGCCTTTGGGAGCTCGCCTGCAAGCTACGTCATCGACCAGCCTGAATTTAGACAAAGTGCTTTGGGGAAAAGAAACGTGTGGTGTGCCTTGTTTTTTTCCAGTAATTGTTCCATGGCTTGCTCTGCTTGTAAGATTTTCCAAAATAAGGCCGTAGATGGGAATTATATCAGCACACTGGGAACCAGCGGCATGTGGACTCTGTCGGCACTTTGTAAAAAACACCCCTCAATCAGACAGACACGCGTCATCAAGGCCTCTGGGGCCTGGAGACGGGGGAGTTGTGGTGCCCACTCCGGACATATGGAATCCAGAGACCTTTGCCCAGGCTGGAGGAGCGCTGTTGGGGGCCTGTCATAGGAACGGATGGGCCTGTGGGGTGCCTTGCACCTTGCCTTTAACTTTTCAAGGGCCACCTCCTTCCCCGTCAAGAGAACCTGATTTAGTCAAAAGTTCTCCGGCAAGTTATCTCCTCGAGGCAGGGACTAGCAGGCCGGCTCTGGGAGGAGGACCATCACCCGCGCAGGGATTGGTATTCTGACCTGTGGGTCTTTTCGGACATCTTTCAAGTTCCTATGCCCTCTTCTCTCCCTGTCTTACAGGAGACAGACAGTGACCAGCACCCCCTGCTGGATCGAGCTGCACCTGAATGGGCCCTTGCAGTGGCTTGACAAGGTGCTCACCCAGATGGGATCCCCAAGCATCCGCTGTTCCAGCGTGTCTTAGAGACAGTGGGTGAGGGCAGGGAGAGTGGGCTTGGGGAAATGGCCTTGGAGGAGGTGGAGAAGAAATTGGAACTCAGCTCACCGTTACCAAGAAGAAACTGTTCTCCGCCAAAGTGGCTCCAACCTGGTTTCGGAAACAGAAGCAAAACCAGAGACGGATTTTATGAACAGCCACGTCTGCTGGACATAGTTGCCCCTTGGCTACTGCTCTGATGCCCTGAGCACACAGGTAGTGTTTCACCATCCGCCCCCTCACCCCAGCCTCTTCCTTAACAGCAGCACCTGGGCTGTCACTGCCCAACAGGAAATGACCCTCTGTTCAGCTGGAGCGTGGAAGTCACCGTGGAAGGCTATTCTCTGTAGGGAAACGCCTGCAGGGTCTCTAGCAAACCTCGCACTCAGCCCTCCAGCGCTTTGACACCTCCTCGATTGAGCTTTCCTGGGCCCAGCGCTCTGCAGATCCTGGACTGAGGTGGGGGCTTGTCCCCCTTCCCTCACGGAGCATGCTGCCTGGTGTGCAGGGGAGGACAGTAGGAAAAGTTGGTGACAGACACCTCTTTAAAAACCTGATTATGTTTGTCCTTTCTCACGCTGAACGGTAGGAGAGACCTGCTGAGGCTCGGTACATACGCATGGTATGGTTTCCATTCCCACGTTAATCTCAGATTTGAACTCTGAAGTGCTCCCGGGAGCACGCGGCCGTGACGGGGGTCTGGGCTAAGGCCGCACTACACTGCGAGGGTCTCCGGTCATTCTCCATATTCTCATGCATTCGGCTATATTGGTTTATGTAGTCAGTTGCATTAATTAAATGAACTTTATCATATGCTCTTTTAAATGTTTGTTTTATATATTTTTAAAAATCCCTGGTTGGCACATTGACTGGGAAACCAGAGTTGGGACCCAGCAACGTCTCTCCCAAGGTGAAGCTTTTCCAGGTTTTGCTGAGAAGACACCTGCCAGCAGTTTTCAGAAGCTGGAATTAACAGAGACAAATTCACCAGAAGGGAAAAATCTCAGGCCAACACAGGCAAGTGAAAAGGGCTATTAAAATTTTTTTACACCTTTGAAAATTACAGGCTTGGTGCAAAGAGGTCTGTCATCTTTCCCCTGGGATATATGATTATCTAGCTCACGGCAGAGGAGCATCAGTGACAGCTCTGGCAGTTATATTGTATAATATAGTAAGTACTGCTCCCAGTAGCAATTAGTGAGAAAAACTATTATAAATTATTTCAACTGGAAAAAAGCCCTTTTCTTAGACTGGCCTTTTGCGGAACACAGCAGACAAAATTGCCACTTGTAATTGGTACTTTATTCTTTGCTGCTGTGTTTGTATGAGTTATCCCATATTTTTGCATGGAATTTCTATGAGGAAAAAGAAAGGGATTTCCTATGGAAGTCCTGTCTTATTCCAGGTGGAGAGGACAGAGTAAAATTTCAAATGTGAGGACATTTCTGATGCTATGTGGAGATTTGGGGAGCTCCCTGGTGCCTCACCTGCAGGATCCTGTGCTTCTGAAGCTCTAGCCTTGAGCTTTCCAGGTAGGAGGGCTGTTCTCCAGGCATCCTGAGGACACAGGAAGAGACAGAGGAGCACTTTCAGACCAGAGCTAGGTCTTCTCACACGGGATCTTGGCACAGAACCCAGAGACAACACAGAAACCCCTTACGCCACCTGAGAGGGACACTACATGGCAGGTCTGAAGCTGGGGCCTGGTGCACTCTGTGGGCAGCTTCTCATAGCTGCAGGAAGCTACCTGAACCTTCGGGACATGTGTTCATCATGCTCGAGGTCAGGTCTGACATCAGCTATGAATTTCAGCTCCGACTAAAGAGCAATACAGGGCCTCCTGGGCAGTGGTCTTGAGGGCCTAGTCACCTGCCACATGATCCCCAATAGGCACGTGCCCTGCACACAGCCGTCCTCCAGGTGCAGCTGCGCCAGGAGTCCTGCTTGGTTATAGCTGGATGGCTTCTAAGCCCCCTCAAGGCTCAGAGCTGAAGGCTACTTCCAAGGGGAGTGAAATTTTAGTTTTGTGTTTTTCCAAAAGCTTGGCCTTTTTTTCTTTACGGACTAGACTGCTGGAGGAGGATGCGTGAGGAATTGTAGGCAAGCCCACCTCTGGTGCCAATGAAAATAAATGCGCTCAAACCTGAAGGTTGGGGCCACTGCAACCATAGAGGCTGCGTAGGTAGGTGCTTCGGCCACATTAATAGTAGTGTCCTTCCTTTTAGTTTCAAAAGCCTCTTGTCTGGATGGCATTTATACATTAAAAACTTTAAAAAAAAAGGCTAGTCGAAAGGGGCAAGAGGACAGCAGGATTTGAATGGTGTGCTGACCAGGCAACGCTCCATGCGTGCGTTGTTCCAGGCTCCCTGCCAGGCAGGGCCTTCACCCTGCGGGGTATGCCAACACTGACCTGAGGGCAGCTAACACAGCCTTCTCCTCAGCACCTCCCCCAGGAGCCAACTTTCATTCCCTTTTTCGCTCTTCCCTACCCCCCTTCTTCCTGACTTTATTTAGAAACTCAGATCCTTCCAGCATAAAAGGTAGGTAGCTGCCCCCAGCAGGTTCGGGTTACAGGCCTGTGCTGGAACATCATCTCAGTTGGCCACCTTCCTGGCAGGCTGCTGGAGACCTGACATTTTAAAAGAGGCCTAGGGCCAGGAGCTGGGCCTTGATGACGCTTACCTGAGGAGGAGCACACGCAGGCATGGCCGCTGGCAGACGTCTCCATTATCCTCACGTTTGCCTGGTTCCAGCCTTTCATTGATGGTGGTGATGATTTTTTTTTTTAAATCGTTGTAAATGTATTGGAATGAGCTATAGCACAGGTCTTGTGCTTAGTTTTCATTTTTCTCTATCTTTCCTCGAGTTTTGGAATATTCCAGGGCTAAATGCTTTTACTGAAACCACAAAAGAGGAGTTCTGGGTAGTGTGCATGTCACGCATGTATGTGAGTAGGCTGGGGAGAAAGCAAATACCTGATTTCATTCTTAGCCTGGCTGCCATTTCTGAAGTGCCCTGCAGAGCCACGTTAGGCCAGGCTCCCGTGTCATTAAGAGGAGGAGGAAAAAGGAACCTGCAGGCAGCTTGTGGGATTTCAGGAGGGGTGACCAGTAGCAAGAGAGGGCAGTTTACGTTCTGGAGCCTGTTTCTGGTGGGTGACTGTAGATGGCAGAGTTGGGAGTTTTCTCACCATCTACACATGTCCTTGCTCTACTACAAGAAAAGCCCAACATGGCTCAGTGGCAACCCTTTTCCTTTTCCTTTGTGTGGCATAAGTGTTCCCTTCACAATGTACCTCACCCTTGTAAGGAGCTCAGCTGCTTCGCCAGTGGGTGAGAAGAGCAGACAAATGTGCACAGAAAGATCCGGATCAGGTGAGGCCTGTCGGTGGAAGGGAGTCAATGAGCTGACTTGATACATGGGCAACTTTTCAGAAACACAGCTATCAAATAATTTGCCTGTCGTGTAAACTGGATTGAGACATTCTGTGACTTTTTTTTTTTTTTTTTTATGCTGAAGTAATGTATACTCTAGCATTCTGGTGTTTTTATATTTATGTAATAATTTCTTAAAACCATTCAAGACAGATATTTAAATTTTTTTGCAGAAAGCTGGAAAGTTCTCTCCTCCCACAGACAGAGGCTAGGAGGAGTTGGGGGGCATGCCAGTTCTGAATATTGGTTGAGGGGACCTTGGCTTTTTGACTCAACATCTAGAAACCCCCAACCCAGACTGGCTACAACCAGGTAGAGCATGTAAGAACAGGCAGCGCAAGGTAGGCCCGTCCTCTGACCCAAGCCCCTGCCGCAGGTGAGAACTTTACAGAGGGAGGGACCTACCTTCACCCCGGTGGTCATTCACCGCCACTGCTGCTGTCACAAGAGGGCTGCTCTGGACTCGTTCTGGTGTGTTTGGGTGGGGGATAGACGGTGGAGGAGGTCGATGACCTTCACTTCTCAGCCAGCCTGACCTTTTAATACCTTTGTAAAAAGCATGTATTTATAGTGTTTTAGATTTTTCTAACTTTTGTATCTTAAGAGCACCTGTTTAAGCATTGTACCCCCTATTGTTAAGAATCTGTGTCCTCTCCTCTTCCCCCTGTAAGTGCCCTTCTAATAAACTTTTCATTGAAAAGCTCCTGTGCCAGGAGCTCAGTCTCATTCTTGCTGCCACATCTGGCTGGGGAGAACATTTGAAAGGGCGCCCAGAGGAAAATGTCTACAAACCCAGCACATGCCAGGCCCCACAACCTCCTAGGATGCCCTGCTGCCCTTATTTACTCACCAAGGGCAACACGCAGTGCCAGCCAGTCCTTACACGAGAGCGGGGGTCCTGGTCTCCTAAATGGTGTGTTGCTTGCTCACCATGTCCAGCCACTGCACAAGTCCCGCTGCTGATGTCTCTGCGCTGTCGTGTGGCCCTCACCTCCTCTGCCCTTGATGGCTGTTAGCGAATAATGGACCATCACCGTCCTTTCCAGGCCTGTCTCTTCCATACTGTCACCGAGTCCTAAGTGCCACCAAATTCACCCGCCCACAGGCCGAGGTTGTTTTAGAGTCATAGATAAGAGGGCTTTCACACTTTGCAGCTCACATTGCTTTGTTAGCTCCCACGGAGCAAAAGACTTCAGAGTTGCTTCCTTGGCTGAATCTTACATTGACCCCAGATGTGGATTAAGAAACAGGATTAAAATGCTATTTGGTTTGGGGGAGGAGGAAGGCAAAATGTGCAGGAATGTAATCCTTTAACGGGGCCATTTCTACAAGCAGTATTCCTACTTGAGGACATCACCACAATCCAGGCACCGCTGGGCCTATGGATTTGCCTCCATGAATGGCATCAAATTCTTACTTTTGTCATTCTTTGGCCAGTTTCCTCTCCTTAGGACACTTAAACTTCCCCAGGTTTTATCTAGTCTGTATTCCTCAGCAAATGACTCTCCAATCCACACCTCTAACCCATTTCTTAAGCTCCACATCTTCAAACTCTTGCTGCCTGTTAACACGCTTCAAAAAAAAAAAAAAAAAAAAAACAAACTAAATCACCTTCCACCTCACTCAAGCATTCTCTCCTTTCTGACTCCCCTATTCTTCAAGTCCTGAGGTAAGTGCATGTCTTCTTGGGTCTCCATCAGCTCTGCTGCAGCTGATCCTGCTGACCGAACCTCCCTTTTGGAAAGGCCCACCCCTGAACATGCCAATTCTCCTCAGCCTTGTCATCTCTTTCCTGGGCATGCCCTTCCTTCTGCCTGCTCCCTCCATGCTGGTGTTCTTGACATTCTTCCCCTAGTGATCTCATCCACCGGCATGATTTCAAGCCACATAAATGCTAACAACTCCCAAATCAGTATTTATAACCCAGACATCAATCCTGAGCTTCAGACTCCTATCTCGCAGCCTGCTGGCTATTGGTATGTGGAGGTGCCACAAGTACTTCAAGCTCAATTTAAAAACAGAATTCATCATTGCCTTTATGACCCGTACCACCCTGTAGCCATGAAAATCGGCGCTTGTCAGTCATCTACCATTCCCTCCCACAGCCGGCCAGTCCTGTTTCTCCCCTCATTATCCGTACTTCAGACTCTTTAGTATCTGGACAAGCACCCCAGCTTCCAAACTACTCTCCTCTACCCCCCTAGCCTCCAGCCTGCCTTCCCATAAACACATCACGCACACTGCTCGTGTGACCTATGGCTCTCCCAGTCCGTGGCATACTCAAAGGTCTTTAACATGGAACACTTACCCACATCGTCTGGCCCTAATCTAGCTCCCAGGCAGGCTGCTTTCCACTTTGTAACCCATAGACCTGTCTCCAATGACCTCTCTGCTTACAATGTGGACCCTCTTCCCTAGTCGACATACCTGGCCCTGGTGCCTTCTAACACGCCACAGTTCACCTGGCTAACACTTTGACTCGGTTTAGACACCTCCATCTCCAGGGAGCCTTCGTGCATTTATCACCACAGTCTCGGCGACGCGTGAACTGTGTCTGTCTTCCCCGTCTAGCCTGTGTGCTCCTTGAGAGCAATATTTACATCGCCTTCTTGTATCCCTGGCTTCTTTTGCTGCCACATAGTTTTACTAAGTAAATCAACAAGTGCCCCTGTCTAGAAGATTCTACCTTAATATCATTTGCATCCATTTCCACTGCAGCTGATCCTGCGCTCTCCCGCAGTGAGTCCTTACATATGGCTGAAGGAAAGCCGCCAAAAGGCAGATCCTCATTACCTTTTATATTGGTCTTCCTGTGGTCCAGAGATGGCACTATAAGGCCAAGTTACCACTATTATCTATACACGGTGAAAACCACTAACCGCAGTCCTGGGTCCATTCTCAGCCTCATACTCGATGTCCAGGCAGATAGTGCTGGCTAATGCTGCTGCCAGAGTCTCCTGGAATGTAACTATGGCTAGATGTCTTCTGCTGTAAAACCCTTTGCCTCCCTGATTACCTCCAGAGTAAACACAGCCTCCACAGAATAGTACTTTGAGGTTCTCTTCAACATCACCCTTCTCTACCGCCGTTTCCTATATAACCCCTTGCTCTCTGACCTCCTGCCTTTGCTCATACTGTAACTTCTACTATGAATTTTGCTGCCTCTACCCACCTGCCCATGTTTTTCCCCTTCTAGTTCAAGTATTACTTCCTCTAAGTCAGTGGATCCCAAAGTGTGGTCCCTGGCCAGCAGCATCAGGATCATCTGAGACTAGAAATACATTTCCTGGGGCAGCACCCAGACCTACTGAGTCAGAAAACTCTGGGGTGGACTCTGGGTTGAGAAAGTATTCCAAGACGCACTTTTTGCCCTGCCCAACCCATTCTGTTCTCTCCTTCCCATAGCCATTAAACTTGGGCACAGCACTCTTGACATTCTGCTTAGCCCACTACCTTTTGTGGCCCTGTCTTGCTCACCCCCTATTCCCACATGAGTTGGCTGAGAAACTAGAGAACAGAACCCACATCCTTACCCAAGTCTGCAGCCTCTGCCACACCTGGCACAGTCTGGCACCATGAGGGTTCACAGTCAGTGTTGGTTGGACCCTGAATCCTTGCTTCAGCTCTCACCAAGGTAATGGAAGTGATTACAGCTGCATTTTCTCAATTTCATTTGAGGACTTCTAACACCATTAACGGCATCCTGGGGATTGGTTTAGACCACAGCCTTGAGCTTCAGGTGAAGAGAATCTTCTCTCTGCTAAATTGCATTGCTGTTTCCATAAAATTCCTACCCCAGGCCTCACTTAGCCCACGTATTTTTTTTTTTTTTTTTTTTTTTTGGTGGGACCCTCGCTGGTGGCCGGGGATTGAACTGGCGCTGTAGAGGCTGCGTTAGCCCACATTTTTGTAGCATAAAGCCACCTGGTTGCTAAAAAGAAAGGGGAAAAAGCAATGATTGGTCACATCCTTCAAAGGAGAAAATGAGTGGGGCTGGTCAAACAGTTGTGTGTGTAGTTGTGGAGGGGGTCTGAGCCTATAAACAGATGGACAGAGAGAAAAAGGTCTCAAAGGAAAATTTCTTTCCAAACCTGTGTTCCAAAGATGCAGTAATAACCATTAGGTCCAGATTTTGAATCAATACCTTTCCAACAGGAAACAAAGTAGAACTGTAAATATTAACAGCTGGAGTGGGGCTCTGCGGGGTTTCAACAAAAAGCCCACGCTGTTGCTATTACCCCTCTTCTTAATTCTTCATTCGGCAAATCAGAGAAACACCTCAGAAATCGAGAAAGACACTCTGATGCAGGAGGAACCATAATGCAGCACAGGTAATTCAGAATACAGGGATCTGCATGAATTAAGATGTTAATAACAGGCATAAGTAATCCCCCAAATGTGAAACACTGGAAATTTCTAAGACCCTTTCTTCAAGAGCTTACATATAAGAAGTGCCAGGATGGATCACTACACTAAGCCCCAAGGGGAATCTAAATAAACTGGAATATGCCCTGCCCAAGTCAGCATTCTACCTTTAGAAGTCACACAAATTATGGGAAAGTTAATAGGGTGTTGTTTGTAAAATGATCCTGTAGTAAGGAGCTCCTGAGTTGAGTCCACGTGACTGGATTTTTTTGCACTTTCTTTACCTACAGTCCTCTAATAAGAGTTGGCATTAAATGATAGAACGCGATAGCTGAACTATCTACTTTAAAATTTCGGGGAGTGAAGGGCAACTAACTCATTACAGCAGTCTCTGGAAATCTGTCTCCATCAATCAGAACGTTCAATGAATCAGAACCTCTGACCACACTAGACACATGTTTGCTAAGTTTAGCTCCACATCAGCAAACACTCAAGCTCAGAATAGTTTGTGAGCTCTCATCTTACCCTTAGACAGTGATTCTTCTAAGACTGTTTTTCCACACAGGCCAAGGCAGGGCAAGGAGCATTCCACGTGTTCTCTCGATGGCCATTGTCAAGACACTGGCTGAAGGTTAAGGGGATCAGTCATGGTAAAAATGTTTAGCCCCATCTCTCCACCGTGGGAACTTGAAATTATCCATATATCACATTTCACCTGTTAAAAGTAGTTTGCAGTGATGGCCTGACATGCTCTATGGTGTTTGAACCACATCCCATATTACTCAGCCATCCAGTCTAGCTCCCCTGAATCTCTAGCTTCTTTCAATTAGATGTGGCCAAGTTCTATAAATAGAGAACAAACTGGTTCTGTCAATCTTATACTCTGGCAGGAAAACATATTTTAAAATTATAAAAATCGCGATGTCCTCATCACTCTAAAATTATTACATAACATGATTTTCTCAGGGACAAGTTTATTCTTATCTCTCCCTACCTTCCAACACTTACAGACTTTCAAACTATGTGATCATATTCAGCAAATTATTAAACATATAGGCCCAAACCACAATTAAGAGCCTGTTATGTGCCAGACACTGTATCACACAAAGAAATGTTCAAGAAGACAAAAAAACCATCTCACATTTTAAATCCCAGATGGACAGTTCACGAAACCTTGTGGCAGCATGAAGGTCACTCTAAACTGCAGCCTTTACTCCAGTATTAGTATTGGGATCACTGTTCTCAACAGGGTCTTTAGCACATATCACTGGATACTTTATCCCACACGTCCCCTACAAGGGGCCGAGACCCCCAGAGAGCTGAGGTCTTGAAAACAGTTGATATTATACATCTGCAGGATGGAGTCCAAAACAGAGTGTGACGAACTCTTAGATTATTCACTATTTATGCCTAATCCAGTGAAAGATCTAAGGCTTCCCACATCCCCTATTAAAAAACAAATCATCATATGGATACTCCAAATTTATAAATCAATCATATTTTAATCATCTGTTTTTTAATACACACAATCAAGTTCAGTCTTTTCTAGTCTGTTTTCCCTAACCATGTGACCTCATATTTTCTAAAACCTTTCATATTTTAAGAAAAATGTGCTCCACCTTCCATTTTGCAACCCCAGAGCCAGTTTTCCTACATTCCTAATCAAAGTGAACAACATCACCTCAAGGAAATACTGATGGAGTCTCAAAAACGTTGAGTCTTAAAGACCTTTAGAATAGCTTTGAAAAAGGTGAGGAGGGAGGGAAAAAAATACCATCAAGCAAGATAACCTCCAACATGCCCTGAATGGCACTTCCTGAATGTTCTAGTCGCTGACCCCTTCCCTCCCAGAGTGGCTCTGACCCAGCACCCGGGGCATTTCATTCCTCTGCTGGCTTTTCAGTGTTTAGAAGGTGGTGCACAAAGGGGCCTGGAATGTGTTTCTGCCGGGGAACCAAAGGGGCTCACAGCTCACACTAGGTCAGAAGCAGTCTGCGTGCTAGGACAGTCCAAGCAACCCGGTGCCCTGTGCCAACTGAGAGCAATGGTGACGACTTGCCGCAGTGAAGGTTAATGACATGCATTACAAAGTGTCTATAAAAACAGAAATAAGGATTTTTATTTGCTGTATTTTCCATGCTTCCTTTGAAAATTTTCCCTGTGGTGATCAGTTTCCCTGGAGTTGACCCACTCGGCCTTGGAGGAGCTACCAACCCTGGAGTTATCACCAGTCACTCAGGGATTCATTGCCTAATGTTTGACATCCCTTCTCACCTCGGCTACTCCTGGTATTACTATTTAAGCAGTGACCTCAGTTTGGCTTTCAGAGCAAAGAGGGGGCATAGTTCTGAGGGCATAAAGTGTGACAACACAGCTGTGACATCCCAAGTAGCAGGAGGGGACTCTAGTGACTAAAGAGTCTCTTCATGGTAATATTACCCACCTATCTCAGTATGTCATCACATTCTGCTGCTGCCATGGCCCACAAAGGGAATTCCTTAAGGATCTCCCTCTTACACACACAAAACCCCCCACAACTTGCAAATTATCCCTACCAGAGCAGGAAACCTTTGCATCATATTGTAGTCTAAAAATTCACACTGGTTTCTTAATGCTCTCTAGCATGAGCTCAGACACTGTATTTTCAATAAAATGCTGCAAAGCAGTTGTTTAGCTAGAAATTAACTAGCGGACCACTGATTTGACTCCTTTCACCCCCACACTACAGCACAAACCAAATCCGCATCTGACCTTTCTTCCCGTGAAGCACATCAGAGTGCAGCGCAGCAAGCGCCTTGAAAAAAAAAATCCAGGACATACAGAAAGGGGACACAAACTCCTGATGTGTAGCAATCAAGCGTGGATGCAGGAAATGCTATTTAAATGACTGACAAGGAATGGCTTGGTGCTCTTCTTCTTCTCTCACTTGGGAAAATCACACAGACCTATGAGCTTCATTTGACTCCTGTTCCGAGAACAAAAAAGTGTATTTGAAAAAATTCTCACTCTGTATTGTCTTTTATATTCCTTACTCCCTCACAATGTATGAAGAGAGAAAAGATTTCTCCATCATCTCCCCACTAACAACAAAAATTAAGGGAACCCTATAAATAAGTCAGGCGCCCAACATAATGGAAATTTCAGCAAACTATAACTAGGTGAACAGGGTAGCAGCTCACATAGAGAGAGTGAGAATCTGTTAGTCAAAGCCTAGTATGAATAATTTAGTGTTCTTCATCAGATGAAAGGCCTTCAATTTCATCTCTGTCTCCCCCAATTGCCATCCAGAATGCTTTGGCCACCTGTAGAAAGATGCAAGTAACAAATTTTAGGCAACACTATGTACACAGCAACATTGTCCTCAATTGCCAAGTCATGGAACCAACCTATGTGCCTTCCAACAGACAATGGATAGAGAGACCATGGAATATTACACAGCTGTTAAAAAGATGAAACAGTGGGTTTTTCTGAAACAAAATGGGTAGAGCTCAAGGTGATGATGTTAAGTGAAATAAGTGCGAAAGACAGATGTTGAATGGTTTGACTTCTCTCGGAATATAAACATCCAGAAAACATATACAGGCAAAATACAGCAGGAATAAATCTTGGACTTAGTGAAAGAATTTAATGATAACCAGAGGGAATAGGAGGGAGGGAGGAGGGACCAGGGGAGGGTGGCAGATGGGGTATTGGCATGGATAGTTGGTGGAGGGTGAGTGAACATGTGTACACATGAAAAAGCAAAAATGTAATCCCAAAATTAAAATTTAAAAAAAAGAAAAAATTTCAGCAACAGCTTCTTTTCAGCTCAGTTCATGTCATATTTTGAATTAAGATCTAGAGTCTACATTGCTCTCCCCCAGCCGTCTGGCAATATATCAAAATCTTTGAATACCCTGACTCAGGATCTCAACTTCTAAAAATTTATACTCAGGATACAATCAGAACTGTAAACAAAGGTGATATGTATGGCTATCCACAACTTAACTTTTTACTGAAGCAAAAAATGCGTGTCCTAAATGTTCAAAAGGAAATCGAATAAAGTAAAAAACACTCATACAATGGAATACCTTAAACCATGTACATTTCCTGCCAAGAACAAACATGTGTTGCATTGGTATTAACAACAAAAAGTAAGTTGCCCGGCCCAACAGTAAGGAAGACAAACATCTAGAGTCGCAATGAAGGTTTCATGTCACTCAACATACATTTGGAAACACTGCATTGACTGCACCAACTATATTAAATACTCAACTAGTTTAAGTTAATATCCAGTGCAAAGCTCACACATTAAGACTACAGAAATAAACAAGGATGACACATAATTCTAGTAGCACTGGGCCTTTTATAGGTTATTTAATAAATACCTGGCAGGTGGCTCACCTTTTCTGCATGAACTTTTCTTTGTTCATGAGGAAGCGTCGCAGCTTTGTCTAGGGGGAAAATAATTGTTTAAGAAATTCATCTAATTAGTACAGGAAATTCTGGAGTATGATTATTTTAACACTCGAAGATGGGAGATGGAGTTCAAAATCATGTTAATGGTGCCGATATTACAGCTGTCAGAAAGTTTAAGTCTTCACATTTTCCAGATAAGAGTGATGTGAGTTATGTGGTAGGTACCTTATAGTTTCCATGTTAATGGGACACATTGAGAGAAACAGAGGGAGGCAAGAGAAGGAGGGAAAGGAAGAGGAAAGAGAAATGGAAAATTTTCCCCAGGGTATTTTTACCCACAAAGGACAGCACAGTTCCCCAGCAGCTAAGTTTCTCAAGACAGCTGAAAGCAGAAGATGGAATCCAATGAGCAGTTACAAAATAAAACCCTACTACATAAAACAGATGAGCATCAGTATGGGAACACATTAGACATAATGGATCTGATTACCTTTCATTTCCTTTAACTTGGAAAATAGTCTTTCAAAATTCTCCAAATCTCCTCCACCAGTAGTAAGACTGGCTAGTTCTTGAATATCCAGATCTAACATGGGATCTGAAAAAAGCATATGTCGCATTGCTTGTCACACATTATGTATGTGCTAAATATACAGCATCCAAAGGCTATCATTTTTAGCTTTGATGAAAGTCACCACTGATCGAGCCCCCAGTGTGTATCAGCTTCACAGCTCAGTGCTTCAACTCTGCTTGGCTGCTAGCAGACCTCACCAATGAACAGTAATTTATCTTTAAAATGTTGTAATGAGACAAGGAATATTATTTTGTTTTTGAGATGAGGAAATTAAAACTGAGCTAAAATGACTAGTAAATGTGACTTTTGACTCAGACTTATGTTTCCAACTCTTTCAGGCCACACTCTCCACTAAGGTATTGATTCAATAATAAATGCTTGACATTTATACCATATTCTATTGTACAACATATATTTTTACATCTATTACTAACAACAATTTGAAAAGGTTAGGACAGATACCACTGTCATGAAGCAATCCAGGTTTAAAATCGAATTCATCTAAAATTACAACTATTGAGAGGTAGAGTTAAGTTCCTACCATATTACAAATTCTTTACTTTTATCTCAGCACGTGGCCTCTTTATCTAAGTTTGCTTTTAATCAAAATTTTTATTCATGCTCCACTGAACATCTACCTCTAGGGTGTCCTCTCTGACCATCCTGGGTTGGTCTCCTTCCTTAGAATTCATTCCATCTTGGTGTTTACAGAACTGTCTTGGCACTGGAATGCCACTTTGTATTGACATTTCTCCTAGTAACATCGGAACTACTACTACAGCAGGAGTTTACTTTGTGTCTGCAGCACAAGACCTTTAATTTACAGGATTCTATTTCTGCAACAATCCTGAGGAAAGATTTGTTACCCACGCAGGTTAAATGACATACTCAAGGCACTCTCACTTCAAGTAGAGGCATCACTTGAACCCAGTTGCCCAGGTCTCCAAGCCCATCCACATTAATTATTATATTACTGGGTTGTAAACACTAAGTTCCTTGAAGAATGATTTTGTGATTTTTGTATGAAGTTCCTCGATCTGGGTTTTCTGATGTTCTCGTATTAGTAGAATGAGGTTACATGCCTTTGGCAAGAACACCACAGAAGTGCTATGGCCTTGGTGCATTATATTGGGTAGGGTGGGGGTCAGTGTTAATACGTCTTATTGCTGGTGTTAACCTAAAGTAGCATCTGTTGGGTTTCTCCAGTATAAAGTTACTATTTTCCCCTTTGTAATAATTAAGTATCTTGGGAAAGATACCTTTAGACCATTCAAATGCCATGCATCTTCTCAAACCTTCTAATTTTAATGTCTATCAGTGGATCTTCCCTATGTAACTATTACTGTGCTGTGAGGATAATGCTGAGTTTTCTATTGCCCTTGAACAGTCCCTCTGTATTTATTCACTGGAATTCTTAAGGAGTAACAGCCCTTTCTTTCCTAGTTAGATTAATATGGATTCATGGATATTTATTTTATTCTATGAATGAGAGCCCAATCAATACTATATTATTTTCCTGATCAAACTGTTCCAGCGTTAGCTACTGGAAGCTCTTTCGGCTTGATTCCTGTGCCCTTTCAGTAAGTCCCTTTTAGCACTTCTATTGTTTGGCATCATGAGATGCTCCAGGTCCATCCTGCATTTTTTCTGCTCCATTCCTGAAATCAATCACTTCTCCAAGTAGCCCTAGTTCCTTTTATTGGGGAACAGTATTCAGAATCCCAGATCTAAGCATTACGTGTGTCCACTGCTATGGAGTGCTGGTGCTTCTAGGCCCTCTCAGTATTTCAAGAGTCAAAAATACATACTACACATGCATACATATAGCTATATTTATTTCTCTATCACTCTACATAGTTAAAAATCATGCTATACACTGATACCCTCAATTCCAGATTAATACCAGAGTTCACCCCAGCCTCCTCTGTTCCTGTCCTTTGCAACTCCCAACAGTGAGAAACCTAGCTATCAACTCTATTTTCTTAAACTGTATACATATGAATATATATAAAATTTCAGAGTTTCTAACCTATAGCCCTTTGAGAACCAAATTTATTAAGTAGAGTTCAATAATTATGTTCAGTTCTCTTTGTTTTTAGCCTAGTGGTATCTGGTCAGTTTTCCCAAGTTACTTAGGTTATAAGCTCTTGTTCCCCCATCCCTCAACGTCCTTCTTCAGTGTGGTGAATGGTTTGTTTTCAAGGCAGAAATATTTGCAGGTTTAAAAAATCAATAAGGAGGATTCAGTTGAGAGAATAAGGCTGAATAAACTAGAGAAAAAAGGTTATGCTATTTTTTCTTACTATGTTCCTATAATCAAATCACTTGAGTTTTCTACTTGAATCATAAAGAAATTTTTTAAAATTTATTACCGCACAGAGAATTTCTGTGGCACAAAGAGACAGCAGTAGTTCCCCAACAAAAGAACATCTACAGTTATTGTCAACTAAGCTCCATGGCCTGCTGGCTTTTGGACAACAGATTCAATTCTGGTTTCAGTTCCAGGACCTTCTTGTTAGATGCCCTTGGGCAAGTTATTAAATTGCTCTGGGCCTTAGTTTCATGTCTGTAAAATAGCTTCTCTGCCAAACTTCATTACCAAATGAAAAAGTGGACTTAAAGGTCGTTAAAGGACTTATAAAATTGTATTATTCTTATCACCATCAATTCTGACTACTGTTAAATACTATGAAAAACTGTGGAATATGGAGATTTAAAGCTGTTTCACCACCTGGTTCTGTCTGTTTTAACTAAGATGATCTGAAGCAAGATCCTGCCAAGAGGATCAGAGAGAAAACCCAAACTTGTTATGTATTTATTCTTCTTTTTCCTGACAGCCATCCACATGGCTCATATTCATTTGGGGCACACTATTTTCTTCCCTCACCCATGTATAAAGTCAATTTTCCTGTCCATGATTTATATCCTGATGCCTACTCCAAGTAGCACAGAGTTGTCCCTCGGCAGTCAAAGGAGGAACTTACCCACAGTACTATCAACCTGAGTGTCTGTTGTATTAGATGCACCTCCTTGATGATCCAAGAGGGATTCAGTCCTATCTGCTGCTGGCAAACAAGGCTGCTGTTGAAGAAAATACACACAAGCAATAATTTAACAGTAGGCTATTTCAGAACTAAATCCAAGAAGGCTGACACTTTCACTCCCTGGTTGGCTTTAGAGAAGCAGTAACAGGGACTAGAGACAAGGGGAGAGAGAGAAGGATCAATGCCACATTGAAAAATAAAAGGCTAACAATTCACTGACTCAAGAATACTCTCCCTTGCGAAAATTTGAAAGAGCTGTGATTTTACTATTAAAACAAATAGTTTGTGGTTGGTTTAAGATCCATGTTTTATTAAAATGTGAAAATGAATACAACTGTATCACAACAGTTCAGAGAAAAAGCTGCCTGGAAAGACAGTGTGTCTCTGTACAATTTGCTTGGTTCCAGCATGCTGATCAAGGTAAACTTGGACCAAAGTCAGTGAGGCTAGAAGGTTGATGTGAACCCACTCAGCTTATTTTTGTACTTCAGATTTGTACAGGGCATTGTACACCAGAAATACCGAAAAGAACCATCAACTGGATCTGGAGGCAAGTTTAAACCTCAAGGAAATTCTAGCATTTTTTTAAAACCACTCTAGCAAAAAAAAAAAAAAAAAAAAAAAAAACCACACAAAAAACCATGGAATAGACCAAATGGCAAGCATCCTAAAAGAGCTTCCTGCTTTAGTGCTAAACTAGCCTTTTCTCAATGGGTACCAGGCTGTTGGGTTTTTTTCCTCTTCACATTTTATTGATTGCCACTAGTTTACAGGACTATGTAATTCTGAGAATACAATTTACACTTCATGTATACATGACTCACTCACCCTCCAAGTCTTCAGTGCCACAACCCTGTCACTTTCCCTTTCTACCCCCTTCCTCTCCTCCTCCTCCCATGCTCTCTGGTAAACAGCTTATTTTTTATAGACCCCAGACACTATTCCTGGTGCTTTCCCAGTTTGTTTTCTTTAATTATTTATATTCCAAAAATGAGTGAAACCATCTGGCAACTACCCTTCACTTTCTTATTTCACTTAACACAGTCACCTCAAGATCCATTCATTTTGTTCCAAGAGGTACTGTTTCATCTTTTTAAATAGCTGAGTAGTATTCCATTGAATATATAGTCCATAATTTCTTTATCAGCTGTCAATGGGTATTTTAGATTTTAGATTGGCTCCACAACTTCACTATTGTGACTAATATTGCTTTGACCATAGGAGTACATAAATCTTTTCATATTAGTGTTTTCATATTCTTTAGACAAATACCTAGTAGTGATAGTGCTAGATCACATCAATACACAAAAGTCGGTTGCATTTCTATATGCAATGAACTGCCTGGGACTAAACCTAGCAAAGAAGATGAAGGAGCTATACACTGAAAACTATAAACACTGTCAAAAGATATAAAAGAAGATACCAAAAAAAAAAAATGGAAAGACAGCCCATGTTCATGGATTATAAGAAAAACAGTTTTTAGAATGGCTATATTACCTGAAGCGATTTACAGATTCAGTGTATGAGCTATCAAAATCCTGATGACATTCTTCAAGGAAATAGAACAACTGTAAAATTTCTATGGAAACACAAAAGACCCTAGACAGCCAAAGCAATCCTGAGGGAAAGGAGGAAAGATGGAGGTATCACATTTGCTATACTATACAGGGATAGTAATTAAAACATTATGGTATTGGAATAAAAATGGAACATAAAGTGAAGAACCCAGAAGTAAAACTACCCAAACACCGCCAGTTAATCTTTGACAAAAGAAGCCACAGTAATAAAGAAAAGCTTCTAACAAATGGTGTTGGGGAACTTGCTTCATATAAAACAAAATGAAACTAGATCCTTACTTGACTCCAGACATAAAATCTAAATCAATTTGGATTAAAGACTTGGACATAAGACCTGAAACCATAAAATACATTAAAGAAATCATAGAAGACACTCCTGGACATCAACCACAGAGATGTGTCTAGGGATATAACTCCAATGGCAAGGGAAGTAAAAACAAAATTAAACAAGGGGGAACTACATCAAACTAAAAAGCTTTTGTATCACAAAATAAACCACCACAAAAACAAAAAAGCAACCTATAGTGGCAGAAGATATCTGCACATCACACATTCTACGAGGAGTTAATTTCCAAAACACATAAAGAAAGAAACAAAAAAAAACACCTCACTCTAAAAAAAAAAAAAAAAAAAAAAAAAGACTTAGACATTTCTCAAGACATGCAGATTGCCTGCAGGTACATGGGGGAGGGAAAGCTCAGTATCACCTATAATAAGAAAAATGCAAATTAAAACACAGTGAGATATCACCTCACCTCTGTGAGAATGGCCTAAATCAAAAAGACTGGAAGCAATTTTGGCAAGGATGTGGAGAAAAAGGAAGATTCCTTGTTGGTGGGCAAACAGTTTGGTGCAACCTCTATGGAAAACAGTATGGAGTTTCCTTTAAAAAAAAATAAAAATAGAAATACCATATGATCCAGCAATATCACTGCTAGGTCTTTGCCCAAAGAATATGAAAACACTAATATGAAAAGATTTATGCACTCCTATGGTCATAACAACAGTAACAATAGTCAAGTCATGGACCCAACCTAAAATACCCACTGACAGATGAATGAATAAAGAAATTATGGAATATATACTCAATGGAATACTATGCAGCTACTTAAAAAGATGAAACAGTGCCTCTTGGGAAAAAATGGGTGGATCTTGAAGTGATACGTGTTTGGAAGCTTTCCCTCGTTTTCAATTTTTTTGAAGCATTTAAAGATAGGTATTAGACACTCTTGAAAGTTTGGGTGGAATTCACTAGTGAAGCCATCTGGTCCTGAGCTTTCATTTTTGGGGCACTTTTGATTACACTTGTGATTTTCGTGTATGTGTTTGGTCTATTTAATCTATTTCATCCTGGTCAGTGCTAAAAGGTTGTATGATTATAAAAGTCTGTCCATTTATTCTAGATTGTCCAGTTTGTACACATATAGATGCTCATAGTAGTCTCTTAGGAACCTCTCTATTTCTGTGGCATCTGTTTTAATTTTACCTCTATTCCAATAAGTCCATCTGATCCATGGGTTCATTGAAGGGCATTATTTCCTTGTCTAATTTTTGTTTGATGATACATGGTGTAAAGAATGTATTGTGCTTTCCCACTAATATTGTGTTGCTATCAATGTGTTATTTTAGTTCTGTTAATAGTTGTAAAAAAACTAGTAACAACAAACATTGGCGAGGTTGTGGAGAAAAAGGAATTCTCCTGCATTGCTGGTGGGAGTGCAAACTGGTCCAACCACCATGGAGAGCTGTGTGGAGATTTCTTGACCAACTAAACATAGAGCTTCCATATGATCCAGCAATTCCACTCCTAGGTATTTACCCAAAGGACACAGAAACATCAATTCCAAAGGACACCTGCACCCCTATGTTTATGGCAGCACTATTTACAATAGCTAAGCTATGGAAACAGCCCAAATGCCCAAAAATAGATGACTGGATCAAGAAGATGTGGTACATATACACAATGGAATATTACTCAGCAATCAAAAAATATAAACACATGCAGTTTGCAGCGACATGGATGAAGCTAGAAGGGATCACGCTTAGCGAAATAAGTCAGAAAGAAAAAGAAAAATACCGGATGGTCTCACTCATAGCAGGAATTTAGAAAACCTAAATAAGGGACCAGGAAAAAGACTAATTAATACAAAGTAAAAATCAAAATCAACAAATCAACAAGCAACTATGGATCAGAGACACACTGAGGGGGAAGGAGGAGGCGGAGAGAGGAAGGATTAGGGTCAAAATAAGGGGGAGTGCAATTGTATGGGGAATATAACCAAAATGAAAATATATACATTGTGCAAAAATGAAAAATGATGCTAAGAATTATATATTTTATATATTAAAAAAAATAGTTGTTCTCTGTATGGTAAAACTGTTGGGTATGTAAATATTTATACAATTATATTTTCTAGATGAATTGTCCCCTTCATCATTATGTAGTGCTCTCCTTTGTCCCTAATTACCATTTTTTTTGGCTGAAGGCTAATTTATCAGGTATCAGAATAGTAGTTTCTGTTTTTTCTATTATTGGTTTGAAATATTCAAGTCTTTCACTTTAAGTCTGTATTTGTCTTTAGATGTGAAGAGTCTTGAATACAATATCTGGGTCATTCTATGTCTTAATTGATGAATTCAGACCATTCACTTTTAAGGTGATTAGTGCTAGATGAATCTTGTTACTGCCATTTTTTCTTTTCGTTGTTTCATCTTTCTGTGGGTTTTTTTTTCAGTCCTTATGTTTCTATCTGCTTTTTCATTTGGATGGCTTTCCCAGGTTCTTCTCTCATATTATTCATTTATTCTTTTAAGCGTCTCTATTCCAGATTTTTGTTTTGTGGTTACCATGAGTATTGCATCAAACATTCTGTATCTAAAATTGTCTGTTTTATGCTGGTATCAACTTGTAATCATTTGAGTATACAAATTCTGTCCTTTCCTTCCTCCCCTTTAATGTTCCGATGTCTCAAATTATTCTTGTTTGTAACTCTGATGTCATGTTACTACTTATCACCTTGCTCAAGGTTTGTGTGTTTTTTTTTTTTTTTCTTTCATGTGCAAGAACTCAACATTTCTTGTAGGAAAGTCCGATGGTAGAAAACCCCATTAGCTTTTGTCTGAGAAAGCCTTTATTTTGCCATCACATTTGAACGATGATTTTGCAGAATAGAGTATTCTTGGCTGGCAGATTTTACCTTTTAGAATTGTAAATATGTTATTCCACATTCTTCTAGCCTTGAGTGTATCTGCTGAGAAACCCGATAAAAGTCTGACTGAGGTGCCTATGTATGCTACATTTTTCCCCCCAACAGCCTGTAATATTTTTCTTTATTGTTGACTTTTGATAACTAAACAATGATGTAGCTTGGTGATGACCATTTGCATTTAGAAATCTGGGTGTTCTTTTAGCTCCCAGGACATCAATATGTTTAATTCTTTCCTAAGTTCTAAGCTATCATGTCTTTGAATGGTGTCTCTGCTCCCTTCGCTCTTGCCCTCACGTTCACTCACGTTCTCTCGCTCTCCTTTCTGGAAAACCATTATACCCTCATGCTTCCTCTTCTAATGCAGTCTCTATTTTTGTAGAGGTTCATTTTTTCTAAATCTTCTTTCACCTGGGTCACTGGGACATTTCTATCTTCAACTGACAATTTCTTTCTTCTGTAAGCTTATGCTTATTTACTATGCTTTCCATGTCTGGCCTCATTTCATTCAGCATCTCTTTTTGTGTATGTGTTGTTTATTTTAAATATCTTCAATCTCTTCAGTGAAGGACTCTTTGTTCCTGGATCTCTTTGCTAATATCCTGCACCTGCCTTCCTATGTGATTGAACTACTAGAACTCATTTTGAGTTTTTAAAATATTGTTATTCTAACATCTTTGTTAGGTCCTAGAATTCTGTGACCTTTATGTAGATCTCTGGATTTCTATCCTCTTCAGCTTTTCCATCTTGTGTTCAGATGTTCTTGCCTCCTAGGCATGTGTGTTGCCTTATTGCTTTCTACCACTTGGGGCACTGTGGCTGTAATTTTGTTTATGTTCTTTGTTTAACTTGGCAGCAGGTGAGGGAGAGAAGGAATGCTGGAATCCAAAGAGTTGGTATTAGTTTTGATGGGGAGCGAGGGTTATTCCAGACAGAGAGGCTTATACTGCTGCTTATTCCCTTGCTTTGCAAAGCAAATCCTATTCAGTGCTTCATGAACCCCAAATCCCAACGCCCTGCCTCTAAGCCTCTCCTCTCTGTGTGCAGCATACAGCCAGTCTCTCAGCTCTATCAGCAAGGAGATGGGAGGGGTCTCTGCTGCCCTCCCTACAGGCAGTTAGGCGTTTTGCAAGGGAATCAACAGTCCCAGGACCCATGCACAAGCTAGTTTGCACTCCCCATCCCTGAGGAAAAAAAATTCCCCGCATACAGTCTATGTACCAGCTCAGCCTGTGCCAGGTCCCCTGCGTGTTAGCCTGACTGCTATAATTGCTGCACTAATCACATCTCCCTTATGGTCTCCAACCCAAAAAGGAGTCACCAACCTTAGAGGTATATACTCAAGTCCCTGTTGCTGAGAAATAACTGGTGAACTTTCCTGAGAGCAAAATTTAGTTTTCCTATAGTTGTATTTAGGGGAGAGGCTTAGCAAAACCTCCCTATTCTGCAATGTTGTAGGTAAAGTGAAAAGGAGGGTTTAGATTTTCCTTTTATCTACTTTTAATATTCTCTACCAGATCTTAAAAGGAAAAAATGATAAATGGTGTAAAAAGGAGAGATTAAAGCCAAACCAAAGAAAATTGTTACCTCTGAGTGACAGTTCTCTGCTGACGCAATGCTATGGTTTGCCCCAGTCAGTGAGCTGAGAAGGTTAAAGCCTTGGTTCCTATCTGAAAATTTTTCTAAAATTAAATTGCTTACTGATTTTTTAATTTATATTTTAAATTGCTGAAATGACTATGAAAAAATAATGGCTATTTCATCATCACAGTAAGTCTTAACTGTAAGAAACAGTTACTATTCAATTATCATACTGCCTCAATTCTTAAAAATCGTAAAATATTAGACCAAGTCAAATACAATGACAAGACTACAACAATAAACAAAAGGGTGCTCAGCAGTTTTGTTTGCATAAATTAACACTGATTTTTATAGTCACTATGAACTAATATTCTGTCTTAAACAATCAAAAACATTTTGAAAATTCAACACTACTACTTTATTATCAGGTAAAAAGGATCATGCATGCCCTAATTGTTATATAAATGGGTCATCTGCAGTTAAGGTGCCCAATACTCTTGATATTTCTATTCACAATAAAGGACAAACCTGAAACAGAATATCTAGAACTAAGGAAAGTACAAACACCAGCCCTGATCCAACGGTGTCTACCAAGTCACCAGGCACTTACGTATAACCACCCCAGTATTCAGGAAACTGACCTCAGATTGAGGCTGAAACTCTGGGACTTTAGAGGTCAAGTAACCTGAACTTTGAGCAAGCACTTCAGAAAATTCTTAGGACCAGGGAAATTGGAAAACAGAACACTGCATGTTGTCAGACCAAAAGATTCTGTTTTAAATGCCTCATTCTTTGCAGTGGTTGCCCCCAAAGCAGGGACATGGGATGGACAGAAGTTACAGAGAACCATACTGTATACTACAAGCCTCTGTATACCTTTGATTTTTGATCCCTGCTCAAGTGTTTCTCTAGTAAGAGATTTTATGATTATATGCTATGCATATTTTACGCAATTAAAAATTTGGGTAAAAGTGGATAAACTGAAAACCTCAATTCTAAAAGTGGATAAAATTGTGAAAAAAATCAGAATAGTGAAAGAGAACTGGCTAGTAATGAGAAAGCCTGGATTTTATTCCTGACTCTGGTTACCAATAATCTTAGAAAATTAATCCTCCTTTCTGTGCGTCAATTTTCTGATTGGTTAAATTTGTGATTTCATGAAGTAAAAAGGAATTCTTTGGCATCTTGACAGTAAATGAATTAGCTGGGTTGAAGTATTTTTAAAAATCACTTAATAGAAAAATAAGAACCTTAAATTTCAGAATCTTAACATTCATAGATGACTATGAGTTTATGATGAGGTTTCAAGCTGATCAACTAAGTTGTAAAGACTTTTGCTCAATATTGTAACAGTGGAGAATTTAGTCAACTAGTAAGCAAGTTTGTTTACTATTGCTTATATGTTCAGAAGTTAGAAACAAATTACACCATCAAAAAAATTTCATTTTTGTTTACCTAAGGCAGATGACTTGTACATTTATGTTCCTGAAAAAGCTTAAATGATTATATTGCACACCCATGATTTTAAAGAAACTCGGTTGTACCCAGTTCAATGTTCAGCAAAATTTTGCCCATGGTCACCCACTGCGAAACTATTCCCTTCACAGAAAAGGATTAATCTTTCCATGTTTGCCAGATTTTTCTCCCCAGGATTTAGGACATGGAAATGTCATTCCTATCGGAGGATTTATTCTTTCAGTAGGTAGTTGTTGAAATTGGCTTTCGCATATCTGGTTTTATGGATGCCACAAAACACTAGACTAGGAAGGAATAAATCAATCAACCCACTCAACTGATTCTTCCGGAATTTCAGAACTGCAGAAAGGGGAAATTAAGTGATACAAAATAAATTACTACGGAAGGCGTAAGTATATCAAGCTCTGGTCCTAAAAACATCTAGTGCAGTTTTGGTTAATTAATAAGTTAGCACCAGTGGAAAAGATAAAAATGATAGTATCATGAAAAAACTCTAGTGGTACCAGTGAGCAGCATAGTATTCTAGAACCTAGCAAGTGTATGAAACAAAACTATAGGCTACAGAATAACATGAAAGAGAAAAGTGTCACCTTGGGGATAAGCTTTTATGTATTTATACATCTGTGATAAGTTATAAGAAAAGTTGAAATATATGAAAACATTTTGGATACTTCTTTACAAACTAAAGGCATGTGCTAATATAGAAACAAAATACAGTATTTTTTCCCCTTCTAGTTTTCCTGCTCTTCTCCTACTTCTGGTAGTAACAGGATAAGCATATGAATCTTAAGACAGATCAAGGGATGGATCTGAATCCAGTTCTACTACTTACTGTGTGATCTTATACAGGTTATGGCCCCTCTTTACCACAGTTTCTTCAGTAGCTTTACAGAGCTCTGTAAAGGTTAATACTAAAAGCTAACATTTACTGGATGCCAAATATGTGCCTGGTAACATTCTAAGCACTGAACACACAATGCTTCTTTTATCCTCACAGCAACCAAAGTATGACTTCTACACATACACAGAAATCAACATAGAGCTTATCTTCTTTTACAAACAATTTATTTTACTATTCTCCTTTACACAGCAAACAAAAACTCAGATTGTCCAAAGTCACATAACTGGAACCTGAATGCTGTGAATCTAAATTCCATACTTTGTCCATTAAGCCCAGAGGTAATATGTACAGTTCAGTCAATGCTTAATATACAAACACTGGCTATGACACAAACTTGGGTCAAATGCAAAAAGATGTCTTTTTATTCACATATAGCTCCACTTTGTCACTAATCCTTCTTAATAGCGCTGACTTAGACTGATTAAATGACACTAAACAGGTCAGAACTGAAACATTAATCACATGCCACTATTAACTGATCCCAGTCTCGTAAATCCTGAGGGCACTGGTCCCCAAAAGTAGTGGCAGAAAGGCAGCTAGGCCCCGCTGTTCTTCAATGTCCCTCAAGTACATGTAGACAAGGGTTTCTCAGTCTCAGTGCTATGGACAGATAAGGCTAGATAAATCTTTGCTGTGTATGGGACAGGGCAGGGGCAATGGAGGGTGGGTGTTTAGGAGATGGCCCTGTGCATTCTGCCATCTACCTAGCCTCTATCTACCCAATGCCTCCAGCACTGCACAATATCCTCTGGGAGACAAAAGCCAGAAGTGCTAATGGCCAGGGGAGGTGCCAGAGTGGCCAGACACCTCATAACCTTCTATGAGACACCACCAGTGCCTGCCCTCACTGGTGAGATGCCACACCCATGCCAGGGGAGGTGACAGAGTGGTCTGGAGCCCCATGACATCCACAAAACTTCACTACAGCCACCCACAGTGGTGAGACCCCTGACCATGGAGAAGGGAGGAGGCATGCCCAGAGGAAGCCCCACCTACAGCAGCTGGGTCCTCAAGCAAGTAATGGGGACAAGGAAAAACCCGACAACACCTACCAGAGTCCTCAAGGAAACAGTACAACACAGAGAGAGAAAAATCTCCAGAACCCAATATTTAAGACATGAAAGATATGTTCTTCCAATTAGATACAAAGCATAAAGTTGCAATGATAAAGAAATTCAAAGAAATGAAAGAAAACTCAGAAAAACAAATGAATGTCCTTTGAAATAAAATCAATGAACTTAAGATAGGAAATGAACCTCTAAATAAGTGGACAACGGGGTTTTAAGGATATAAAAAGAAATACAGGAGATGAAAAACTCAGGAGAAATGGAAGTAGACTAGATCAAATAGAAAAGCAAGTCAGTGTACTCAAAGATGCAAATGTACAAAGAATCGGGGTAGAGAAGAAAAGAAACTAGTAAGAAAAGAAACACTTTGAAAAGATCTGCAAAGAAATAACTCATACAAAACAAATGACTCGCTCAAAAAATGAGAACTAAACAGTTCTCCAGAGACAGACTGCAAAGAGGCACATGAAAAAACTGTTCATCATTACTTATCATTATGGAAATGCAAATGAAAACTAGGATGAAATACCACCTCACACCTGCAAGAATGGGGCATATCCAAAAGGTCAGAAACAACAGGCACAAGGAGGATGTGGAGGAAAGGGAACGCCCCTCCACTGCTGGTGGGAATACAGATTGGCCCAGCCCTGTAAGGAGGTGTCTCAAAACATTCAGAATGGACCTGTCATATGACCCAGTAATTTCACTGCGAGGCACCTAACTAAAAAATTAAAAAACACTCATTTGAAAGGAAACTTGCACTCTTATGTTTATTGCAGTGTTATTTACTATAGCTGAATTATGGAATCAACTGAAACGCCCCCAAACAGATAAGTGGATCAAGAAGATGTGGTATAGATACACAATGGAATACTACTCAGTTTATCAAAAAGATAAACTCATGCCATATGGCAATATTGACGGAGCTGGAAGGGATAATGCTAAATGAAATAAATCAGGAGGAGAGAGAAATACCAGAGGGTAACACTAATATGATGAATATAGAGTAACTAAACTAAGTCAAATAAAGACAAACTTAAAACTAATCCTTGAAAGCTGACTGCAGGTCTGAAGCTTCCAGAGGGCGGAGGAGGTAAGCATGGGGGTGAGAGAAAGAGGGAAGGAAGCACAATGGACTATGGTGGTGGACTAGGGGGGATTTGGTGGTGGGTGCACTATGGCAGCAATATCTGATGGGGGTATCAAATGTTACCTTAAAAATAAATTTAAATAAATAAAAAACAGCTGCTGATACAGAGTTAATAACCTGGACAGGAATATGTCTCAAGTTTTAAGTCATTTCTTGAAAAGACTTTCAATGAAGAGTAAAAATACTTACCATCTCTACCTCCTATTAGAATTCAAAATACCCTCCTCTTACTCCTGGGAAACTTCTCTGGATGAATTTAGCTCATAATCTTTAGCTGCCTCAGTGACATTTCCCTTTGTTGTCCTTACTGTCCAATTAGCCCTTTAAAGAACATGCTAGAATTAATAACTATCTGGAGTCTGTCACCCTCAACTGTATTTTAAACTCCTTGCAGATATAGACAAGCACTAATGGTTCCTGCCTTCCACAGCTCCTACTACTGAGTGTACAAGGGACATGCTGATACATTCACTGACAGTCTATTACAACTGTCAG